TCTGCTCAGCGGCACATTACCTTCCTTGCAGAAAGCAAACAGAAAGAGAGCAGGTCTCCCAAGCCTTTCTGGGCCCTAATACAATAAGAAAGGCTTGCTGTACTGTTTTGGTGGCATGCTTATTCCCAGTGACTGTCAAGGATTGCAGGCGGCTTACCTCTTGAAATAGGACATTTGAGCCGGGCGGTGGCGGCACACCATCCAGCACTTGGGAGGCAGAGACAGGCGTATCTGTGTGAGTTCTAGGCTAGCCTGGTCTACAAGAGGGACACGCTCCAAAGCTACAGAGAAACCCTGTCTCGAAAAAAACTAAAAAAAAAAAAAAAAAAAAAACAGAAGAAGAAAAAAGAAATAGGACATTTGAACAAGGAAATGCAATCTGTTCTAAGACAAATATATAGTTGTATTTTTCCTAAATTTGTGATTCGTCCTCTCCTGGAGTTGGAGTTGGTGTGACACTTTCCACAGCTACATCCAACGTGGTTAACTGTGCCACATAGCACATGTCTGTACCTGGTTCGTATACTTGGGATACAAAAGCAGGAGCATAACTGTTAAGTCGGAGGCCAGCCTGTACTATCTAGTGAGTTCCAGGCAAGTCAGGACTACACAGCAAAACCTGTCTCAAACCCAGATTGGAGCAGAAGGATTTGAACAGCAGTGGGGACACCTTTGCCTTATGTCACAGATACGTTCTTGTCCGGCGGGTCTTGCATTCCTTACTGGAAATTCATTCTGCTCCAGCTCTCCAGTGACAGCACAGGGAAACATGGAGTGGGAGAACATGAGTCAGCACAGCACACCTTAATCCCACCCCACCTCTGCCCATTGCGCATCAGTGGACAGTAGTTAGCCCAAGGGTCACCCCAGCACACCCTAAGTTGAGGGTTGGGTTAGTGTTAAAACATTACCACCTCTGGGGACTGGAGGGATTGCTCAGCAGTTAAGAGCACTGGCTCTCTTCCAGAGGACCTGAGTTCAATTCCCAACACCCATATGACTGCTCACTGTTGAATTAGGAGCGGCGCAGCCGCCTGCACGGCTAGCTTTATACCCGAAATAATTACACGGAAACTGTATTCTTTTAAACACTGCCTGGCCCATTAGTTCAAGCCTCTTATTGGCTAGCTCTTACATATTGATCTAACCCATTTCTAATATTCTGTGTAGCACCGCGAGCTGGCTTACCAGGAAAGATCTTAATCTGCATCTGTCTGGAGTGGGAGAATCAGGCGACTGCTTGACTTGGCTTCTTTCTCCCAGCATTCTGTTCTGTCTACTCCACCCACCTAAGGGTTGACCTATCAAATGGGCCAAGGCAGTTTCTTTATTAATTAACCAATGAAAGCAACAGATAAGGTACAAGACCCACCTCTATCAGCTCACAAACTGCCTGTAACCCCAGTTTCAGGGGATCCAATACCCTCACACAGACATGCATGGGAGCAAAGCATCAATGCACATTAAACAAACAAAAAGAAAACCAGAAAAACCCTACCACCTCTGGAAATGTAGTATGGTTCATTACTGGGCTGAGGTTCTTGTGGTGGTTTCCCGGGGCCAGGGAGGGCCCGTCCTTGAGTACCTATGTGAGTTGCTGCAGCCCATGGACATCAGAAAATGGCATAGGTGCCGTGATTGCTGCTGAGGCTGGGGTGGGGGCATGTACATGCATGTGCGTGTTTGTGTGAGCCTCCGCTCCCTTGAGCAGTGGTGGAGAGTCCACCAGAAATGTTTGGGCTTCTGTTGCACCCTCTCAGACCTTGGGGTGGCAGCACAGCATGAGACTGACCATGGGGAGGGAGTAAAGGGAACTGAAGGCCTCCTAGGTGATGACTCCTGACCAGAACATGGCAGGGACACTGGGCAGGACTGAAGTGTGAAAGCTGAGTTCTTGGGCACTGTCACACAACTGGCCACATGGACTAGATGGCTGGAGAGCCCCATGACACTCGGGCTGGGTGTCTGAACGAGTGCCTAGAAACTGGGATGGGACCCTTCCCCGAGCCTACCCAAGGCTCCTGTGCTGGGGCTGTGTACGGTCGGACGGCATCTCTAGCTGGGGAACACGGGTTAGTGGCCCAAGGGGAAGTAAGATGCACTGTGTGGTCTCCTGGGAGGGCTAGATCCAGCCACACTGATGGAATGGGAGGTTATGGAAGGGGGGTCTAGCTGTGGCCACAGTGTGAACTCTCTCTGAGCCTTGGGTGAGAGGTGGAAGTCCCCAACAGAGAAAACCTGACTTCCTAGTGATCTGGGAAAACAGGGAGAGGACCTTGGTGGGGAAGGGTTTGGCATGATACACTGCCCTGTTGCCTGCCCCCGGTGGGTAAGGACCTCTGTAGGAAGTCCGGGCTGTGCGCCATGATTCTGATGGACATGTTGGAGTCCCTGATGTCTGATGTCTCCTCACTGTTTTCCAGTTCTTGCGTCTCCTGCTCCGTCAGCGTCACCCATCCAAGGATATGCCTTCAAGCCTCCACCTCGGCCGGACTTCGGCACCTCCGGGAGAACAATCAAACTACAGGCCAATTTCTTTGAAATGGACATCCCCAAAATTGACATCTATCACTACGAATTGGACATCAAACCAGAGAAATGCCCAAGGAGAGTGAACAGGTAATCCTGCCCCTCTGCTTCCCTGACTGACTAGATGCTCCCCAGTCTTGTGTGTCTTCTGACACTCTCCTGGGAAGTCGTAACGTGAGTGCAGTGTGCTCCCACACTGTGTGTCCTGCTCCAGATGTTTGAACAGGTCTTCATCCATTGCCTTCTTCCAGTTGAGGCCTGCCCTCAAGCCACATAGCTCTAACTTTGTCAGCTTTCATTATTCCCTGACCACAGAAGCCTTGCAACAAGGTATCTTAGCCATTGTATCTCATTTCTGTAGCCCAGCATGTCCCCCCTTTTTCTGAGACAAGGTTTTTCTGTAGCTTTGCAGTCTGTCCAACTAGCTCTTTTAGACCCAGCTGGCCTCATTCACAGAGATGCGCCTGCCTCTGTCTCCCAAGTGCTGGGATTAAAGGCGTGCACTACCACTGCCCAGCTCAGCATTGTCTTTTGAGATTCACCAGTGTTGTTCTGTTTGTTGTAGTAGTTATTTTAGCGTTGAGTTATAGCATTGAGCTGCATGTCTGCATGTGTGGGGGCAGGTACATGTCCATGTGTATACATGTGTATGTTTAGGCCTGAGGTTGAGCAGCTTCCTTGACTCTTTACTCATGGAGGTAAGGTGTGGCATTTAATCCACAGCTTTCTGTTACTAGTCTAGCTTGCTCTGGAACTTCCCTTTCTCCACCTGTGGCTGCCCTGACTAGCTGGCATCTGCATGGTTCTGAACTGTAGTTCTCATGCTTATGTGGCAAACATTTTATCCACCAAGCCATCTCCTAGCCCTCACTGAATATTTGATAATTTACCCTTTCATCTTCCTGTTAACACTTGGGTGGTTTGTTTTTTTTTTTTTTTTTTTTTTTCTCTTTTTTGGCTGCTGTTAGGAATGAAGCTCTCATGAGGGAAATACTCCCGTCTTTCCTGTTTTCCTGTTTTGAATGGATATGGGCTTTCCTTTCCCCATAATTGCCGGGGCAGGAATGAGTTTCACTACCTGGGTGTCTATCACGCTTGTCCCAGGCAGGTGCAAGGTTCGGTTTCCATCAGCGAGTCAGGAGAGCTGGCTGGTTTATCCACACCTTGTCAGCATTTGAGCCATTTCTGATTCTCTCCTTGATGTGCTGGCTGCTCCTGTGGCGTTATTCATCCCCTGGTAACAGTTGATGAACATCTTCCCCCTTCTTCACGGGCTGCCGATACCTTCTGTCCTGTTGTCTTAATTCATAGGGTGTCCTTTGCCTCTGCATGATCTGGGGGGTCTCTGGCAATATTATCCAGTCTCAAATCTGTTTTCTTTTCATATTAGAGGTTTTTAATTAGTGCCTTTTAATGAATAAAATTTCCAAGTTTTATTAAAGTCCGGTTTATAAACTTTTAGAAATTACAGGTGTCCTCTCTTCAAAGTCTGTGGCAACAAAGGTCATAAAGATCCTGTTTTCTTTGGAAAATTTACAGTTTGGGCTTTTGTGTTCAGATCTGTGCCCCATCCTGAATTGGTTTTTGTGTGTAGCGTGAGGTTTGTTATTGAAGAGACTTTTCGGTTCCTGTCTATTTATCACATTGCCTTTGAAAGGAAGGGTCAGTCAGCCATGCGTGTGGCCGTTTTGGTTCCTGTTTTGGTCTCTCACTAGGCCAATAATTCATCAGCTTGTCTTGTTTATGGTGCACATGCTAGCCAGTGCTCAGTCTTAACTCTAGGCTGGAATTTCATACTGCTGCCTTCTCCTAGTTTGTTTTTGCAAAGCTATATCTTTGCTTGAAACAATGAACAAAGAGAATAATAAGCAAGAGAATAATAAGCAGGGAAAAGCCAATTGCCTTTTAACCAGAAAGTCCTTTGAAATTCTAAATTATTACTGTTTTGAATCTAAAGTGTTATATTCTTTGCTTTTGTAAGTAGCATCCTAAAATGTTATTTTCCAGATTCAGATGAGTAGTAGCCAAAGAGCACAGAGGCTGATTTGGGGACGATGGACATGCATCAAACTTAAACTGGGGGGTGGGGGTCAAAATTACAACTCACCAAACCATTGAATTATACACTTCGAAGGATGAATTTTATGTGAGTGTTAGTTCATTTAACAATTTTTATAGCCGGGCAGTGGTGGCGCACGCCTTTAATCCCAGCACTTGGGAGGCAGAGGCAGGCGGATCTCCGGGAGTTTGAGGCCAGCCTGGTCTACAAGAGCTAGTTCTGGGACAGGCACCAAAAGCTACAGAGAAACTCTGTCTTGAAAAACCAAAAAAAAAGAAAGAAAGAAAGAAAGAAAGAAAGAAAGAAAGAAAGAAAGAAAGAACAAACAACAATTTTTATGTATTTGAATGTTTGCCTATGTATATTGTATGTGTACCTTGTGTTTTGTGGTATCCATGAAGACCAGAAGGAATAAGATCCCCTGGAACTTGAGTAACAAGTAGTTGGGAGTTACCATGTGGGTCTGGGAACCAAATCTGGTCCTCTGCAAGAACAACAAGCGTTCTTAACACTGAGCCATCTCTCTAGCCCCAACTTTAGCATGTTTTTTTTAAAATAAGGATTGTTATTAAATCCTCATGGGCTGCCGATACCTTCTGTCCTGTTGTCTTAATTCCAGTGTGCAATACATCTTATTTCTTTCCTTACTGCAGAGTGAGGAAAACCCAGCTGGATATTGAGCGTAGGCACTACAGAGACCACTTGTCCTGTTCCTGATGTTAATTGGGAAGTAGTCAGTTCTTCATCTTTAGGATGTGCTATTAGAGGATTCGCAGAGAGAACTCTTACCCGCATCCTCTGAGACTAGTCTCCGACAGTCAGCTGAAGATTTGGTTGTTGGTCATATCTTGTCTCTTTTTTTCATATTAGCATGAGTTGTGGCTTCTAAAAATGAGCCGTGCCTGAGAATCATGATGTTTTCTTTCTATATAGGACTGGTTTGAATTTGTTTCTGTGGAATGAAGATCTGTATTTGTCTTTTGTTCTATTTTTATGTAGCATCTAATTCAGAAAGTTGCAAACTAAACTGTTCCTTCTTTGTATACTGTAAGAGCAAAGACACGGGACCGGGGAGATAAATTGCTCAGTAAAGCGCTTGTCGGGCAAATGCAAGGACTTGAGTTTGAATCCCAGAGCCCACATGAAGCTGGAAGGATATCTGTGGCTATAATCCCAGTGCTTCTGTGATGAGGTGGGAGGAGGAGACAGGAGAGGCTAGCCTGGCCTATTAGGCAAAAGGACCTGTCTCAAGGTAGAAGGTGCCTTCTAACCTCCACACACGACCTCACACACATAGATTGGAAGAAAAAAAAATATGATTTCTGTAATTGTACCAGTAAGTACCTCCTGAATGCCATTGAAATGGGCTAGTTTGGGCCAGTAACAGTGTTTGTAGGAATTGTTTTCTTCAGCTTAGTTTTTCCCTCAGTATCAGGACACCCTTTTCTGTTTCATTTTGTGCATACTTGGGGAGTTTGTCTTTTCAAGGAGTCTACACATGTCATCTGAGTTACTGAATTTTCCAGCAGAGAGTTGTTCATAGTATGTGGTGAGGGCGTGGGTGTGCGAGTGATTTTTTTTTTTTAAACAGGCTTTTGTATAGACTAGGTTGGTATGAAACTTAAGAGATCTGCATGCCTCTGCCTCTGTCTCCCAAGTGCTGGGATCAAAGGTGTGCGCCAACATGCCAAGTTCTATGTATTCTTTGGTGTTTATGGGTCCTGTATGGAGCCCCATTCATCCTAAGTGTTTTACATTTCTGCGTTTTCTCCCAATCAGGTTTGTTCAGGGGTTGCAGTGTCTCAAGGTCTTTGCCCAGAAAAAGTATTTTGCTTTGTTGACCCTCCCCGCTTCTTTTCTTTTGATTCCCATCCTTTCCCCGGCTCAGTCTCTGCTCACATGGTCGGTGCGAGCTGCTTTCTTCTGCAGCTTCTTTGCACAGACCCTTCCCTGAGTCCGTCTCACTTGTAGGCGTGCATGCTGCCCAGTCCCGAGAAGCATTCCCCGAGGTGGAGGCAGCTGTGCTTTGCTCTTGGGAGGAGGTGGTTGTTAATTGTAGCCCAATCATTTATAGCCTTTTATTTTTCTCATACAAATAAGATATGGACTTGCTTCTTTTTCCAGAAGTACTTTCTGATTGTTTGTGCTTTATGTATTCTGAAGCCCTGTTAATAGTTACTGTCTATAATTATTGTACCTTTTTGTTTTTGCATGCGCACACACACACATGCATGAGCACGCATACTCAGAGGCTAAGTTTTGGAAGCTGGATCTCTCCTTCACTTTGTGGGATCCAGAGATAAAACTTAGGTTGTCAGATGCAGCAGCAAGCACCTCCACCCCCTAAACCATTTCCCTGGCCCTAAACTTGCATAGTTTTTTTGTTTGTTTGTTTTGGTTTGGGTTTTTTGTTTTTTTGTGACAGAATTTTCACTATGTAACCTTGACTGGCCTGAAACTCTGTATTATAGACCAGGTTGGCCTGGAATTTGCTGAGATCCGCCTGCCTCAACCTGAGTGCTGGGATTAAAGGCATGTGCCATCATACCACAAACTGATTCTTCTATAATTAGGAAATGCCTCCTTTTATATTTGATAATTCTACTTAGTGATTTACACTAAGTCACTAAGTGTGGTGGCTCACACTTGGAATCTTAGCTCTGGGAGGCCAGGACCAGGGAAATCACTCCCATTTTGAGGCCTCATATATGAAGAGTTGTTTTGGGTTTTTGATGTTGGTTTTTTTTTTTTTTTTTTTTTTGAGACGGAGTCTCTCTGTGTAGCCTTAGCTGTCCTGGAGCTTGCTCTGTAGACAGGGCTGGCCTTGAACTCTGTGGAGATAGATCCTCCAGCCTCTGTCTCCTGTTTAAAGGCGTGCGCCGCCGCCGCCACCACCCAACCATAGAATTGAATCTTTATGTAGTTTTCAAGGCTGATGCTCAGAATCATAAGGCTTGCCAGGAGGCACCTTTATCCACTGAGTCATTTTACGAACCCAGCTTTTAATTTAAATGTTTTATTACATTTATTTATTTCCTGTGTGTGAGAGAGAGACGAAGTATGTGTCTTACTTAATAGTGTGCACGTGGAAGTCCGAGCACAGCTTGGAAGAGTTGGTTCTCTGTTCCCACTGTGTGGGTTCCAGCAATTGAACAGCCTCTGTTTCTGAGGTCAGACTGGGTGGTTCATGTCTCGTTTAAGGCAACACTGATCTATATAATAGCTTCCAGAACAGCCAGGGTTACATAGTGAGAGTCTCTCTCTCTCTCCCCCTGACATACTCATAAAAGAAAATAAAAGCCGGTCAGAATAGTTCACATGTTGTCATCTTTTTTCTTTAATGTTCTTAAATTAATTTTATTTATGGGTTTTTTTGTGGTTGTTTGTTTTGTTTTTTCTGTGTGCTTGCATGCCATCTGTATGCCTAGTACCAGCAGAGGCCAGAGCCGGAGTCATGTCCCCTGGGACTGGAGTAACAGACAGTTGTGAACTGCCATGTGGGTGTTGGGAATTGAATCCAGATTCTAAAGAGCAGCCAGTGCTCTTAATCTGAGCTAACAAGCAGTCCCTCTTTTTGTCTTTGAGACAGTTTCTGTGTGTAACCCTGCCTCTCCTGGAACTCACCTTGTAGACCAGGCTGACTTCAGACTCACATCCGCCTGCCTCTGCCTCCCACGTGCTGGGGTTAAAGGATGGACTTCTACCACCACCCAGCCCCTCATATTTTTAATATTGCTTTCTCATTATTTGACTACGGTGTGCCCATGAGTAATTCACATGGGATTCATGTTTCTTGGACTTGAATCTTGACTTTTTGTGTTGTGTAGGACAATTCTGGTCTTAATTTCTCGAAGCCTCTTTCTCCCTTTTCTTCCGTATCACTGCTCTGCATATGCTAGGCCACAGGTATCTATCTGCTTTCCGTCAGGGGGTTGTGATCTAAGAAGCAAAATACTCTGGTTTCAGTTGGGGTGATTTTTTTATTATTTTTCCTTGAAGATTGGGGGGTGCCTACACGTGCATAATTGGATGTGTACGGGAGCCAGAGGCTCACCTTGTGTCGTTCCTCGTGTGCTGCCCTTGTTTGGAGTCAGGTTCTGTCACTGGATCTGAAGCTTGCCAGTTAGGCCTTGGCTGGGTGGCCCGTGACATTGCTTCTCCAGCACAGTCATTGAAACTTACTTCCTCAGTCTGTGGCCAGCACTTCACTGATGGAGCCATCTCCCTGGCCCCTGAAGATTCCTTCCGGGCTGTTGAAACCATCAGTAAACTATGCATTTGTGCTCGTGGACAGCCCCTCCCCGTCACTCATGGCTGAGTGTCCTTTCCTTGAGATGCTGTACGCCATCCCTCAGTCACCCTAATCCCCAAACAGCTGCTTCCTGTTCCCAGTGCACATTTTAAGGTAAGAGGCTAAGTCCAGAGCCAAGTACATTATGGGAGATCTGTAATCTGAGTTACAGACTGTTGTCCCTGAGGGTGCTGGTACCTGGTGAAGAAAGTCAAAGTCCACTTTGCTGGTGCACCTTCTCCTGTCATAGCTGCTGGGGAGAGGACCTTGTCATCTGACCTGCTGGACATCAGATGAGATCCTGTTAATGTGTTCCTGTGACAAGGATCTTTCTGCACAAAAGCCACAGGCCCAGCTGGGCTGAGCAGCTGTCGGTGCTGAGGATCTTCCAAGGTCTTTTATTTTGTCTCAGTGAAGACTGATAAGTGGGTGTGTCGGTTTGCTTGCTAGCTTCTTGGGAGAGGAACTTAGGGGCCCAGTGCTGTAGCGCACACCCTCCAGACTGGAGAGAGGGTGGGAAACTGCACTGTAGTTATCTGAGCTTTGCGGTTCCCATGAGACTCTTGTCATGCCATCCTCGGCATGCAGGACACCCTTTCTGAAAGGAGGCGTGACTCAGGCTTGCATCAGGCACTGGCACGTGGCTGGCGATGGGCACGTGATCTGCCAGCGTCAGTCTGTAAGAAGCCTAGGTTGCCATGGTTAGAAACTGCGTCAGTTCAGTTACCTAGCAACTGAGGGGGCTGGGAGCTACAGGCTGAGGCCAGAGCCAGCCCACCAGGCTTGCAAATTATTGTGAGAGCTTCTGGCTGGTTAAATATGCAAATATTTAATGATTTTCATTTTGCTGTTAATTGTAGTATGCCTTAAGTGGGTCCAGTCTCAGGATTCTGATGATCAGAGTGGTGTGTAATGTTGGGAACGGTGCTCTCCTGATTGTGGGATCTCCCGTCTTGAAGCAGGCCAATATTCTGTGCTTGCCCTAGTGATGCTGTGTACACCAGGATCCCACTCCGGTCCCTCGTGGATTAGAGCTCAGTGCAGCAGGAAGGCAGCTGCCTGCTGATTTCATGCTTCATCCCTTTCCCATTGTTCATGCACAGCCACCTGTGTGAAAGCCGGCATGGCCCAACCTTGGTTAGCTCACGATCTGTCACTGTTACTGCTGTGCTGCTGCGGTGAGTCCTGTGTACCTCACTCTCCAGCAGCGCCTACGTATGTCCCTCAAGTTCAGTCCTGCCCACCCTAATAAGAGTCCCATATGGCCAGCCCTCAGGAGACAGCTAGGCCCCATGTTGCTTGAGGACAAAGCTAGACTAGCCCAAAATGGCAGTTACTTCAGGGGAACTGTACACCAGCTTATCGTGTCCCTTTTCTCGTGGCCATGCCTTAAGCCCCTCCTGCGGTATAGACTGCTCTAGAGGTTTTAGAAGGCAGTTGGGTACATATGTTAAAGTAAAAATATTACATGCCCCCTGGCCTGGTATTTTAAAGTGATGCTCTCAAAGGGATAGAGAGTGTCAACCGTAAGAGACACCGGAGTGTGATCAGTGGCTGACCCAGATGTCATGGCTGGATAATATCTGCATTTATAGGCAGGGTGGTTTCATTGCACATAGTAATAAGGACATATTTCTTAAGGTCATAGTAAGACAACATCAGGTCCCAACCGACTCAGTGTAAAAACACAGTGAGCACTGGAGGCCATGGCAGAGGCTTAGTGAAGTCCGCAGCACCCACATCAAACAATAACAACCACCCGTAGCTCCAGCTCCAGGGAGCCTTCTGGCCTCCATGGGCACTGCATTTGCATGCACACACCCACACACAAGGCATGTAATTAAAAATAAAAACAAAAATGTTTCTTTCAAAAAACAAAATACAAGAACGATTTTTAAAAATGTTGACGGGTCTATGAGTAAAAGCTTGGATTGTTCCTTCTGAGAAGGCTGGGCTGGGCATAAGTCTGTCAAAACGACGGTGCAGTAACATAAAACCTGCATAATTAGAAATTAACGGAAGGATGTGGTTTATGTTTTATTTTTTAAAGAAACTTCCAGAACTCTAGCAAAAGTTTAACAGTCAGCATGGTTACTGCCCAGCAGTTTCTGGGGTTCGGAAGTAGGCTAGAGGAGAGACAGGCCTCAGTGTCCTTGCATATAGAACACTGAGGGCAGTGTGACCGTAGTTCTCAAGAGGTGAGAGAGTTGTTCCCCATCAACAAGGATAAGGCCCGGTGGCCTCCACTGTTGTCCTTGTGTTCAGCATGCAGGCTGTTCTTGGGCACAGAACATGGGCTTACAGTGACAGCTTGGTGAAGTCAGGAATCAGGGCGTGTCTGGTGCAGGGCTTCCTCTTAGATGTCTCTGCAGCTACTCTGCTTGGCTTGAGCAAGGGGGAGTGAAGACTTTTCTGGAAAAATTTGGTGACGGTTATACTCATTAGGTTGGACTTTGTGCCAGTGGTTGCTGTAAATGGGGTGTGCCAAAAAATGTGGTCTGTGGACAATGGGGGACTCTCAGGCTCACAACAGAGGTGTGGGTGTCCAGTCTACAACTTTGGGACAGAAATTCCAACAGCTACCCTTCAGTGTACCTGGCACTTGAGCTTATGGTGACATCTACCATCTGACCTGTGTTAATTCACTTGGGTGTTCTGCCACGTTTGTGTGACCGGGAAAACGAGACAAGCCCAGTTCAGGTTCTTGGCTGATTTTACCTCAATGCCCCCACTCCGTTGCCACCACGGGATGGGAGAGCCGCACGACAGGCAGAAACCATAGTTTTCTTTTTGTTTTGTTTTGTTTTGTTTTGTTTTGTTTTGTTTTGTTTTGTTTTGTTTTTCGAGACAGGGTTTCTCTGTAGCTTTGGAGCCTGTCCTGGAACTAGCTCTTGTAGACCAGGCTGGTCTCGAACTCACAGAGATCCTCCTGCCTCTGCTGGGATTAAAGGTGTGTGCCACCACCGCCCTGCCGAAACCATAGTTTTCTAAAGTGGCTTCAAAGCTAGTTTGTATCAGATGCCAGCCCCCATGCCGCCTCTTCGACTTAATTGACATTTCGCTGAATTCTCTGTTTCAGGGAGATAGTGGAGCACATGGTCCAGCACTTTAAGACCCAGATCTTCGGGGACCGGAAGCCAGTGTTTGATGGAAGGAAGAATCTGTACACTGCCATGCCCCTTCCAATCGGCAGGGACAAGGTGAGGCTGTGAGTGCTGGGGCCCAGTCCAGCTAGTAGTGTGAGATTCAGACTTGGTCCAAGGTTATTCATTTCTCTAATGTGTAAAATCACTTTATCTGGACAGCCAGGGCAGCTGCTTGGTGGGGCTTCATCATGAGGAGGATGGTGTGCGAGGTTTGCAGTGAGGCTGGTGAAATGTAAAGCATACTCCCAAGTGCAACCCACAGACCACACTGTGTGTGTGTGTGTGTCGCTGGCTGGCAGTATAACAAAGAGGATGTGCTGCTGCAGCGGCCTCCTCTGCAGTGAGGAGGAGGAGGGGGATGAGTCAGGCTGGTGGCCGTAGAAAATGGTTACCTTCCCTTATTAGTTTTACCTTTATCTTCGCTTTATTTAAAAAGTAATAAAGCTTGTGCCCAGTCTTTGACACATCTGAGAATGAAGGAACTGGCACAGTTTCTGCAGGTCTGAAAATGGCTGTGTTGCTAAGTGACCAAGTTCCTTGGTTCATCTGTGCCTGTCTGTATCCCCAGTGGGGCCAGGCAGTCTCAGTACCTGGTGGCTCTGCTCCATGTCACCATGCTGACAGGAATGTACTATGTTAGGGCAGGGAGAGGGCCAATGATTACATAGCTCTGTGTGTCGTGTAATGATCTTGCTTTTCCCAGTCACTAGTGGCACGTGGGTTGTCGCTGCCACTCTGGGGTAGGATGATGGGCGTAGGGTTCCGAGTTGGAGGGAATCCCAGGACTGGGTGTGAATGAGTGAGCAGCCTCTCCTGGGCAAATTAACAGGCTGTGAATTTGAGATTTATTGATCTTAAGGTTTTGTGTTTAAATTACACATTTGTTTTTGTTTAAAGTTCTATAAGAAAGGAAAGCATAAGGAGTTTCTTCACAGTTTTGTTGGTACAGATTTATAATTAGACACTAGGAGGAGCATGAGGAGAGCCCTCTTGAAGGAGGAATGGAGTCTCTGCTGCTCAGATGCAGACACACAGCCCAGCCTGGGGTGAAAATAGCTGTGGGTGTGCCTTTCTTAGCAACGTGACGTGACATAAGCCACTTCCCCTTGCCAAGCCAACTACTTCTCCAGGGCAGATTGGAGCGCTGGTCTGGGATAGGCAGCCCCACTTCCCTGTGTGTGTGTGGTCCATCTCGGTCTCAGACGCAGTGTGGGTTTGCATCACAGGGCTGGAGGCTGTGTGTGCTCCTCTGGTCCCACAGTGTAGTGCAGATAGCAAGGCTTGAAGAGCTCCAGCCCCACTGCCCAGGACATGAGGCCAAGCAAGGATAGTGTATGTGATTACTGCCTGTTTGCGCTAGCCTGCACACAGAGCATCTGGGGTCCCAGAGAACTTGGGAACCTTCCCGCTAGCGCAGGAGTTTCCCTTTCTTTTCCTACTGTGACCTTTTTCTTTTGTCATCTGTAGTAAGAAAGGATTCTCCTTGACTCCATTAGCTTAGCATCCACCTAGTGGCTCAAGGGGGAATGTAATACCTGATATGGGCACATGCCAGCATCCATATCCCACCACCTGCCCAATGAACAATCTTCTCCAGAACTCTTCATTTCTCCCTGGTCTTCACATCACTGCCAGCCCATTGGAAAGAACGCCACTCCTTAGGACAGAAAAGAGTTGTGTCCACCAAGCCCATGGCCTCACTTTGAGATGGGATGGAAGTTACACACGGTCACTCTAAATTTGGGACTGAAGTCCTCAGTCTCTTTTTACCTTGGCTCTGTGTCCTGCCAGCTGCCTGTAGATTTATAGCTTCAGAGCTACTGCCTCCTGGGCCAGGAAGAGTTGAGTGTCTCCTTCTTAGATGGAAGTTATAGCTGAGCTCCAGCTCATGGGAACCCCTGCCGATAGCTGCTAAGCCGATCAGAAGGTGTTCAGTTGCCTGGATCCTCTGGGAAGGGGAGGCGCAGGAGGCTTCCCCAGGGATCCCTGTGGTGTTTATACTTGGGACATGCTGCTAAGAACTGGGATATGCCTAAGGACATCCACCCGTGTGTCTCTGCCTAGTCCTTCCTGGGTGCTTCTTCACACATGCACTGGGGAAACTGGTCTTGCTACAGGAGGACCACCACCGTTCTAGCTTTCTGTTGCTGATAACACCATGATGAAGCAACTTGGAGGGGAAAGGGTTTACTTGGCTCCCATGTCCTGGTCGTAATCCATCCCCAGGAAAGCCAGGTGAGGAATGCAAAGTGGGAAGAGAGGCAGAACCTGAAGCAGAGGCCATGGAAGAACCATGAGTACTAGCTTGCTCCCATGGCTTGCTCAACTAACTTACTTACAAGGTTTCTCTGTGGCTTTTGTTCCTGTCCTGGAACTAGCTCTTGTAGACCAGGCTGGCCTCGAACTCACAGAGAACCGCCTGCCTCTGCCTCCCGAGTGCTGGGATTAAAGGCGTGTGCTACCACTGCCCGGCTCTACTTACTTTCTTATACAACCCAAGACTGCCTGCTTAACTGTGGCAGTGGGCATGCTGTGCTGAATCCTCCCGTATCAATCATTCATCAAAATCTCCCTACAGATCACAGCACAAAAGGTTTTACCAATACAGATTATTAATTCAAACACATCACACCAATGGCCAGTCTTTGTTTCCCCTTGAAACTTCACAAGCCAGGCTTCCCGACCACTGTTCTCAACATCCTTATCTTCCAGATCCGGTACTTCAGCTCTTTAGGCTCTGAGTACTTCCAGGCAAAGCTCTAAATGCTTCCAACAACCATTCAAAAGAACATGGTCAGGTCTATCGCAGCAACACCCCAGTTCTGATTGATTGATTGATTTCTTTCTCTCTTTCTTTCTCTCTTTCTCTCTCTCTTTTTCTCTTTCTTTCTCCCTCCCTCCCTCCCTCCCTCCCTCCCTCCCTCGAGTGCTGGGATTAAAGGCATGCACCACCACCACTCAGCCCAACACCAATTTCTATTCTTGTTCAATTTCTGTTGCTGGGATAAAAACAAAAGCAACTTCGGGGGTGGGTTTATTTGATAAAGGTCAAATATTATTGAGGGAAGCCGAGGCAGGAGCTTGGAAGCAGGGACTGATGTAGGCGCCATGAGAGAGCATGAATCACGGGCTTCTCACCTTGGTTTTTATACAACCCAGGACTACATGCCCAGGGGCAGCTCCACTCAAAGTGGGCTGGGCCCTTCTAGATCAGTCTTTTATTAAGAAAGTGCTCACAGGCCAATTCGAGATTCCTATTCCCAGGTGATTTTAGTTGTGTCAAGCTGACCAAAAATAAGACTGAAAGAACCTATCCAGCCAAGGCTTTCCCAGAAAGCCTTTAGACAGCAGCTCCCTGGGCACATTGAAACAGGATATGACCTGCACGTCCCCATCAGGAAAGGATGCATGGCACCAAGCCCTGCAGCTGTCCCTCCAGCCTGGCCAGCACAGTGGTTGTGACACCAGACACCTGCTGGTGCTGTCACTCCTTCTGTGGGGTTGGGGATCGGTGGCCCTGCAGCTGAGGACACAGCTGCTTCTGTGTTCACAACTCCCAGACACTGGTTCTTTGTGTCACGGTGCAGCTGGCTCCTCCCTTGGTTTCCGAGTGGTGTGCTGTACCAAAATGCACTTACTTTTGTTCTCAGTTTGATTCCTTCTTGCAAGGATGTCCAAACAAGAGCTGCTTGGTTCAGTATCAATGTCCTCCGAGGTTGAGTCTGTAACTAGCTCACCGTCTTCCCTACCCAGGTTGGTACCATGTGATGTCCCAGCCATCCTTGGGTTCTGGACACACATCTGGGTTGTGTTTCCCTGTGAGTGGTGGCAACAGGCCAGCCCCAAGCCCAGTACCCTTTCTGCCCTTTCCTGGCTCCGGGGCCTTGGGCTGTTTGCTAGCTCAGTGTCTGGTGATGCATATAAGATGAGGTGAGCCTGTCTGGGCACTAAAGGAGAAAGCATTCCAAGAACACGGGACATGTCAACAGCAGATAACAAAGTCACTTTGATCACCACCCGAGTGCTTTGTGGGCCACAGTTGTGGTGCACTGTCGCAGGCATAAATCACAATGGTGATCCAGCCATGGACATTACATTGCAGGTAGATTCAGCAAGTGTTCTGGGAGAAAGGTGGGTATGTTGAAGTCATGGGTGTCCTATGTGCTGAGGAGCACTCTTGACCACTGTTCATTATGCGCATTTTTTTTTTTTTTTTTTGGTTTTTCGAGACAGGGTTTCTCTGTGGCTTTGGAGCCTGTCCTGGAACTAGCTCTGTAGACCAGGCTGGTCTCAAACTCACAGAGATCCATCCACCTGCCTCTGCCTCCCGAGTGCTGAGATTAAAGGCATGCGCCACCCGGCTATTATGCGCATTTGTTAAAAGTAAATAAAATTGAGGCTGGGGAGGTGACTCCGTTGGTAAAATGCTTGTCGCGAAAGCAGGGGCACCTGGGTTCTGTCCTTAGCACCAGATGGAGGGGACAGAGTCAGTTTGGAGATCCCTGGGACTCACGGCCTAGCCAGCCTATGCTAATCAGCAGGCTCCAGGTTGGAAGAGAGGCTGAAACTTCAAAGGGGAAACAGTTGAGAAAGGCACCTGGTATAGACTCCCGACCTCCTCTACACATGCACACCCCTGCCCATACTCAAAGTTAAAAATATAATTTCTTGTGCTTTTTGGGAGGAAATGACCTTTGTGCTTTGGTTTGCAGGTGGAACTGGAGGTCACGCTGCCAGGAGAAGGCAAAGACCGTATCTTCAAGGTGTCCATCAAGTGGGTGTCATGTGTGAGCCTGCAGGCGCTACACGATGCACTTTCGGGGCGGCTTCCCAGTGTCCCTTTTGAGACGATCCAGGCCCTGGACGTTGTCATGAGGCACTTGCCATCCATGAGGTGAGAGCATCAGGTGGGTGGGGAGAAAAGACCACAAACTGAATGAAGCTGAGTGTTCTCAGAAAGGTTGAGGAGCCAGTGGTGGGCACACATGCTCTGTCTGGGGCGAACAGTCCAAGATGGAAGAGGATAGTGTAAGAGTCGTCACCGGTGCCCCTGCCTAAGTGCAGAAAGTTCACCTCTCTGGCTTTGCGCTCACACAGCCCTGTGCAGAGTCCAGAGCAGCACTTGGATGACGCAGTGGACACCCACATGGTGCTTGATTGGACACCCATCCCTGGGATACTTCTCTGCAGCTTTTATGACAATGGCTAGCACCAGAGGCATCAGCCAGTTTGTTAGAGGATCACCCTTTGCCACACCTAGCAAGGGGGCGGGGATCATTTCTGTGGTTTGTCATTTTCCCGCTTGCCCGACAGAGTGACTAGCACACGGGACCAAGGCCTGGGAGCTGCATCCAAGCTTAGCTCTCACACAAAGCACACAGTAGGACTTCAGGAATGGTGGGACTGAAACTGGAAGGCCAGAAGTAAGGCAGAAAGAAAGCTCAGTGCTTAGGCCCTGGGGCTGACCCCTCTACTCTGGAGAAAATTGGGTGTTCCTTTGGCTCACTATCTATGTCTTAGGCATAGAATAGACTACATCCCAGGGCCAACTGTTACTCTTGGCAGGGCCCAGGCCGGCCTGTCGTGCTAAGAACTGTTGATGGGAGGGAGACAGGTAGGCACAGAAATAGCCTGGAATGGTGATTGACAAAATCTTGTATATGGTTTAATTTATTAAACCGGTATTTATTTTATTGTGTGTGGCATGCCACCAGTGTGTGTGTGTGTGTGTGTAGGTCAGAGGACAACTTGGTAGGAGTTGGTTCCCTTTTTCCACCATGTGGGTCCTGGCAGTGGAACTTGGGTCCAGGCTTGGCGACAAACCCCCTTACCCTTTAAGCTTCTCGTCAGTCACATTGACTATACTTTTAGTTGAGCGGCAGGAATTCTTATGGTTTCCTTTCTTCGGAATTCCTTTGGATTGTTTATGCTGATTTTTAGTCAGAAGACTGTCAAGACACAACAGGATTGACAAGCACAGGCAGAAAGTGAGATGGGCATGCTCCATAATTTCACTAGCAAACGGTGTTACCTGTACTGCGGCTGAACACTGTCTTGCCTTTGTCATCCTGAATTGTGGCACATCCCACGCATCCAGTAGTCTAGGTGATGCCCTTGAGAGAGCGTCCTCAGCAGGTGGGTGGACTCTAGCTTAGGTCTGCGGTGCAGAACTGGCCTGAGACCTTGTGGATCTTTGCACTACTAAGAATAGGCTCTGGGAGCATGAGCTGTCCACAGCCTCCTTCCTGCCTTTGGTGCCTGTGTTGAAAGAGCTACAGTGAACAGGGAATGGGTACCAGTTTAGCCAGCTACATGATGGACCACAGCCACACAGAGAAGTAAGTGGCAGCTCGGGGACTTAGAGCTGGGATGCTCTAGCTGCCTTTGCCTCCTTAGCACAGCCCTGGACTAGGAAGACACCGATGGGTCTGCCCAGCTATGCACAGTGTCAGATAAAATAAGAATGAGGAAAGAGTTTGGAATACCAGCTAACCTGCATCTGCATGGTCCTAAGGCTGCAGTTGTAGGCAGAACTCTTCCCAGATTAACTCTTGTCCTTTGGAGATTCATAAGGAAGGTACCTCAAAGTGAGTCTAAACTCGCACCACAGTGTGTCTTGTCTCACACTGACACAGAGCCTTGAGAGAGGTCCCCTTGCCCCTCCATCATCTCATGTGTGTAAACATCGACAGCCTATGTCTGTAGGGCTACTGCTCACACTGTGAGTGCAGACAAGAACTCCATTTAATGAACATGGCTTTACAGGGAAGAAACCTCGAATGGTCTCAGTGTAGAGCCTCTGGGGTGACTGGAGGAGAGGCTGGAGTCAGCCTGGCCCACCATGACTGATTCTGTCTGATCAGGAGAGGGCTTGTCTCCCTGGCAGGTATACCCCTGTTGGCCGCTCCTTCTTCACTGCATCTGAAGGCTGTTCCAACCCCCTGGGCGGGGGCCGAGAAGTATGGTTTGGCTTCCACCAGTCAGTCCGACCTTCTCTTTGGAAAATGATGCTGAATATTGATGGTAAGAAAAACCCATTCACTGCTGGGTGACTGGCGCCCGTGCAGCCTCTATTACATGAGGTGGAGATCTGAAAATATGCAGAGGAGCCAGGCATTAGGAGGAAGGTTTCTCATAGCCACCTCTAGCCTCTGTGTCACCAGCTTGTGCCAGTCATGTTTGATATCTGAGGTGGTTTCTAGTTGGGTATTGGAACCTTTGAAGTATTCCATTCCCAGGAACCCTTGAGCCAGCCTGGGGAACTGGCTCTGCCAGGACCTATGCGTGACTAGGATACCCCGGAGTAGGATTTCTACATCCCTCACTTTCGCTCCACATTCCCTGATTACTCAAGGTTTTTACACTGAGAGAAGGGCGCCACTAGGTGCCAATGGATGACCAGCTTCGGCAGTATGTTAGACCTGTCACTGCTGTGACAAGTACCTAGAAGAAACCATTTAAAGCAGTAAAGATCGGCTCAGGGTTTCAGAGGACTCCGTCGAAACTACGCTGATGCTGTCATTCTGAAGCCAAATGCCACTGCAAAGAGGCCATGAGACAGCACAGCTGCTCACCTCAATTGCGGTGGCTGGGAAGGGGGTGGCTGGAAGGGGCCAGGGAGAAATGCTTTCCTGGACGCACACCCAGTGATCTACTTCTCCAGTCAAGACCTCCTGAGTTTTTACAGCCTCCCAGAAACGCCATCCAGTTGTGACTCCATCAGTCCCCACCTCACAATCCAGGGAGCTCTCAGTAATGGGGTCCATGTGACCTTCTTTTGGGACACTGTAGCTCGCATGCTGTCCCCTCCTGCTTCAGGAGACCCGGGACCACACTTCCCTCTGCCAGAGACCAACAGTCTGGAGGAATGATGCCTCCTCTCACATAGGAGAGAGGTCCTGGCAGCAGCTCCAGGAGCCCCCAGAGTACTTCTCGCTCAGGTGCATACTAATTGCGAAAGAATTGAGTGAATGGAAAAATCACAGAAATGCCTCTTGCAGGAGGTGGCCAGAAAAGCCTACAGGATCCAAGGTCCTGACCATCCTGTCAGGCTAGACTTGTTCATGACCACAGTAATTCTTTGGGTGACTACTTCAGATGCAGCCAGTCCCTTACCATTGGCTGTGGTCAGTCCCTACCTGGGGTGTAGAGCTCTGGGCCTAGTGGGCATTGGTTTTCTCATCACAGAGGGCCAGGGGGCACACCACAGGGAGAAATGGAGGGCAAGCCTCCTGAGCAGCTGCTAGTTAGTCACATCAATGTCTCTGGACGCCTCCATCAAACGCTCCTGTCTGTGTCTCTCTCGCTTTTTCTGCACACAGTATCAGCCACAGCCTTTTATAAGGCACAGCCGGTGATCGAGTTCGTCTGCGAAGTTTTGGATTTTAAAAGTATTGAAGAGCAACAAAAACCTCTGACAGATTCCCAAAGGGTAAAGTTTACCAAAGAAATTAAAGGTAAAGAAGCCCCCAGCACAGCAGGCTAGGGAGTGAGGGCCCCCTCCGTGCCTGCCCATGCATGGATGGATGGGTTCTTGTTCCATTCTGAGGGAGGAGTGACCCACAAGGCACACTGACTTTGAGCCCGTGACTCTAATGAGGACAACCACACGGTGTGGGACATCCCCCGAGCCACAAACTTTAGGGCTAGAATCACCCTGAAAGAAGGGTAGTGGTGACACCCAAATCTTACTATGCTGCATTTTGCTGGCAGAAGGCATCTCTGGACAGGTGGATCCAGACCTGCATCTATCCAGTTCTGAGGATAGCCTGCATTTCTTACTCCCCTCCTTAGAACCCCATGGCTTCAAATGTTGCCAAAGTTGCCATGTGTGAAAACTGATTCGGGGGGGGGGGGGTCTTGGACTGTAGGTGGGTGACGAGTCGCTCTGATGCCTGCTATCTGTCACCAGGTCTAAAGGTGGAGATAACGCACTGTGGTCAGATGAAGAGGAAGTACCGTGTCTGCAATGTGACCCGTCGGCCTGCCAGTCACCAAACGTAAGGCAGCTAAAACAGCCATCCCTCCTTCCTGTCACTCAGATTCCCAGACACTGGAAGCCATGGGACTCCTAAAACACTAGTAGCTACCTCTGTGGCCCATTCACTCTTCTGCAAAGGGGCTAGATAAATGGCTCAGTAGTTAAGAGCATGTATTGCTCTTAATTTGGTTCCCAGCACCTGTGTTGGGAAGCTTACAACCGCCTATAGCTCCAGCTGCAGTGCCCACCATGTACTGCCCTGGTGCCCACACCCACACACCAAATCCACACACATACACGCATAATTTAAAATAGGATAAGATGGGATTTTTTGTTTTTGCTTTTAAATTTTTATCTTTTTTTCTTTTTGTATGATTTTTTTTTCCCTGCATGTATGTCTGTTCACCACATGTATACTTGGTCCCGATGGAGGTCAAAATGGGCATCAGATCCCCTGGAACAGGAGTTGTAGGTGGCTATCAGCTACTATGTGGGTACTGGAAACTGGACCCTCTGCAAGAGCAGCCAGTGCTCTTAACTCCTACTTAGAGTCACCGTGTTCTGTTGGGAAATAGACTTCTGGATTCATCTTCCTGTATCCTGCACTGTCTAGTAGAAACTGATTGGTGTGTTTCTTAGATGTCTATGTAGTCGCTGTTTCCCAACAGGCACGGGCAGCTTGAGAGCTGAGAGGCTCTGAAATAGTCCAGGAGTTAGTTGAAGCGTTTGCTGCCTGCTTGGTCTGGGAGGCGTGTTGGAACTCTAGTGTCCAGGGAGCCCGGAGGCCCTTGCCTGAGTCACCTCTTTCCGCAGGTTCCCGCTGCAGCAGGAGAGTGGGCAGACAGTGGAGTGTACAGTGGCCCAGTACTTCAAAGACAGGCACAAACTGGTTCTGCGCTACCCCCACCTCCCGTGTTTACAAGTTGGACAGGAGCAGAAACACACCTACCTTCCCTTGGAGGCAAGTCTCTGCACTTTACCCTTGACGGGGATGAAAAGCCTCAATCCAGCCCAGCCTCACTGTTGCTGAAAGACCCAGCCAACTCATGGCATCGTTGAGATTTGGCCCTATTGTGTACCCCTCCTCCCAAAGTTTCTTGAGATTAGCAGCTTGGTTGGGGATCCCCCGCCTCTTTCTTCGATAGGATCTCACTTTGTTGCCCTGGCTGACTTGGAATTCTCAATGTAGGCCAGGCTGGCCCCCACCTCAGATCCCACCTACCTCAGCCTTGTGAGCCCTGGGATGATGGTGTCTTCCTTAGATTTTCTGATATGGTTATGAAACACCATGGCCAAAAAAGCAACTTGGAAGAAAGGGCTAAAGTCACATACTCTCCCACACCACGGTTGATCAGGAAGTCAGGGCAGATACTCCATCTGCTTGAGAATCTAGAGAGAGGTAGGAGCTGTTACAGAGGCCATGGACCTGTGCTGCTAACTGCCTTGTTCCCCATGGTTTGTTCAGACTGCTTTCTTATGGGGCCCAGGGTAACATCAACCACGATACAATGGGCCGTCCCACATCAATCACTAATTAGGAGAATACCCTGCATGCCTGCCTACAACCAATTACTTTTTTCCCTTAGTATTCTTAATGATTATTTGGGAATTTCATATCCTGCACTTGATCAGACTCACTTCTAAGTCTTCCTGGATCTGCATCTCACCCTTGTGTGCTGCCTCCCATGTGCTTGTGGTCAGACTCCCAGTAGCAAGCCCCTAAGGAAAGCTTGAATGGTCCTCTGTTGTGGAGAGCTACACCTCAGCATCCTTACCATTATTTTTAAGAGTTCTCTTTGGTTTTCTGTCTAGGCCTGTTACTTGGGTGGGATGGGGGTACAGGCTATGGCCCCATCTTGGGGAAGCAGTTTATCAGTTGAGGCTCCCTCCCCTCAGATGACTGTAGCTTATGACAAGTTGACATAAAACTAGCCAGCACAACAGATGTGAGCCACTCACTATGCCCAGCTCACATCCACTGTTCCCATCAGTGCCACCAAAGCTGAAGGATGCAGTTGTGTGAGGTCAGGTTTGTTCTGCTGTGAGTGGTAGGCTATGGAGCAGCCCCACCACTGGCTAGGGCTCTGGCTTGGGTACTGAGTTCCTGAAAACCGTCTCTCTCCCACAGTTCATATGTTGACATGTGTGTCTTCTTTATAGGTCTGTAACATAGTGGCTGGACAGAGATGTATAAAAAAATTAACAGACAATCAGACCTCAACCATGATCAGAGCCACTGCCAGGTCGGCACCCGATCGGCAAGAGGAGATCAGCAAATTGGTGAGCACTGGGTTCTCAGGTTCCTCCGGGATGGAGCACCACGGCAAGGACAGCCTGAGCACACACTGCTGTGCTTGAGCAGGGATGACCCTCAGGAGGAGCAGAGGCCTTCACTGACTCGTCTTCCTCTTCTTCCTAAAGATGCGAAGTGCGAGTTTCAATACAGACCCGTATGTCCGCGAATTTGGAATCATGGTCAAAGATGAGATGACAGATGTGACAGGACGGGTTCTGCAGCCTCCCTCCATCCTCTACGGGGGCAGGGTAGGTGCAGGCGGATGGTGTGGGGTGTGTGCGTGCACATATGAGGTGGATTAGCCATGTGTGTTCTCAGGTTTGTAGCCGCCCCGTACCTGTGGGGTAAGCACTGGGCACTGCCGATGGCTGCTCTGAGCTGCTCCCATTGGACCCGTGCATGACAAAGACTCTACCTTCTGCATCCCTTTTTAAAGTCTGCACATTGCTTTTAGTGTTTCTAACAGTCTGTCTTAACATCAAAATTTTCACTTCATTCTTATGGAAGAGGTTTCGGGGATGGGGTCTGACTCTTCTCAGCTCCATCCATTATTCTAACTGCCCATTCATCTGATTCCACCCAACCGCATCTGTTTATCCAGTTCTAGGCACCGTATCCTTCTGTCTTCTCATTCCTTCATCCCTTCTATCCATCCATCCATTCGGCTCTTCATTGCTGTCCACCTACTTGTTCATCATCTCTCCGGCCATCCTCTCTTTCCTCATCTAGCTTGCCGGCCCCCCTTCAGAATCCGCCATGCTGTACACGTGTGTGGGCTGTCTGCATTGCTAGTTAGGGATACTAGAGCCAGTCCAGTCATGCTTGAAGAGTCTTCATTGATCAGGGGACCAGCGGCCACAGGGTTTCCATTTGTTTCCTCACATTCCAAACCACTTTCTATTTGCAGAACAAAGCGATTGCCACCCCTGTCCAAGGTGTGTGGGACATGAGAAACAAGCAGTTCCACACAGGCATCGAGATAAAGGTGTGGGCCATCGCCTGCTTCGCACCCCAGCGCCAGTGCACTGAAGTCCATCTGAAGTAAGCCTGCTTGAGACTGCCATGTGCTGCAAAGGGCCTGCTCCTCAGCCTAGCACACTGAGAGTGTCAGGTCACTGGCCGGGGAGCCTGGTGCCGACAAGAATGTGCTCTGGGGCCCTAGGGTTGTACTTTGGGTTGTACTTTTGTTCCAAGGTTAGAGGGAAAATGAGACATTTGTGTTCTGCCTCTCTGGGAGACAGTAAAGGGAGGTCCCCAAAACCTGCAGAGTGTAGCTGTCACCTGACCGATGACCGACACAGCAAGAGGCTATTGAGTGATGCTGTCCAGTGCAAGGCAGAGTTCCTTGACTGGAGGCTGTCACCCACTGATTGATTGGTGGCATCTGCTTCTAATAGAATGAGCCAGAAGCCCAGAGCAAAGAAAGCCAAAGCAGAGACTGTGTGTTAGTGATTTCCTGCCCAGCTTCATCCTTGGCCTCTCTGTCCAGAAGCACGCCCACCTGCTGGCACGAAGGCAGGTGCACGCACATGAATCTGTAAATGCAGCATATGGGAAGGTGTGAATACTGACCCTATAGATAGGAACCTTCACTGCTGATTAGACATGTTCTTGCTCTGGAACTGAGCATAGACTCAGTCAGTCTCGGGGTCACCTGAGTTGGGGTCTCCTGACCTTGCTTGGCTCTCACTTGCCCTGCTTTCTTTTGAGTCTGTGTCTCTGTACCCACCAGAGCAGCAGGGGAAACCCACAAGGCAACTAATGGTTTGGGTTGTTTTACTAGAGAGTTGCTTAGGTCTGCACGGCACAAAAAACCCACACTAAGGGAAGGCATGCATTTTTTTAATATTTTTTATTTTTTTGGTTTTTGGAGACAGGGTTTCTCTGTGGTTTTGGAGCCTGTCCTGGAACTAGCTCTTGTAGACCAGGCTGGTCTCGAACTCACAGAGATCCGCCTGCCTCTGTCTCCCAAGTGCTGGGATTAAAGGCGTGCGCCATCACCGACAAGCATGCGTTTTTTAAGCTGCCATTTCATCCCAGGGTTGTTGCCCCTGGGCCTTCCAGGTGTGTAGTGTCAGTATTCAGGCATCTGCACCAGCCTGCCCTTGGGGCCTGACAGGCTATGTCCTCAGCTGCAGACACTAAGAGCACCTCCTGTGCACATTCACTATGTTCCCTTTTAAAAGGGCCCTGCTCACCTCCCACCTCTTTCTCTGTCTTTCTGTCTCTCCCACTTCTCTCTTTTCTGCTGCTCCCATCCCCAGCGGCCAGTCTCCCTCTTCCCTTTCTCCTCCACATGAACTCTGTTGCATGGCGTTTTTTCTCTCGCACAATGCTTTTTTTTTTTAATTTTTTTATCACAGCATATAGCCCACTCACCTCTTCCACAGGTTGATAGAGTTTTGACTTCTGGCTTTATCTGAAATTTAACTCTAGAATGGCGTGGTGCCTACCTCCTAACCCTGTCCCTCAGAGGCTGAGGCAATAGAATCCTGAGTTTGAAGCCATCCTGGGCTACCAAAAGTAAATAAAAACCTTAGTTCTCCATTTTTTAAACAGTTTATGCATCCCAAGGTTAGCCTGGAGCTATAGACCCTCCTTTCTCTCCCAAATGCTGAAACCACAGGCATCCACCACCATGCCTGGAATAGTCAGTCTTAGGGATGAAAGACTGTGTGTGCTATCAAGTACTCTGTCAACTGAGCTACATTCCCAGCTCTGAAAAAACTTAATTCTAACCTCCATAAACATGCTTTTTTGTTTGTTTTTGGGTTGTTTTTTTGGGGGGAGGGGCAGGGTTTCTCTTTTGTAGCCCTGGCTGTTCTGGAACTCTGTAGAACAGGTTAGCCTTGAATTCAGAGATCCACCTGCCTCTGCCTCCCAAGTGCTGGGATTAAATGCGTGGGCCACCAACACTCAGAAATGTGCTTCCCCCCACTTCCCCACTTTGTAAATCTTATTCAGAACCACTAGTTGATATGACTTCCTTCCCATCTGTTATACATCTCAGCAAGGTTGCCTTTCCCCTCAGGTCCTTCACAGAGCAACTGAGGAAGATCTCGAGAGATGCCGGGATGCCCATCCAGGGTCAGCCCTGCTTCTGTAAATATGCCCAGGGGGCAGACAGTGTGGAGCCTATGTTCCGGCATCTGAAGAATACCTACGCTGGTCTTCAGCTGGTGGTCGTCATCCTACCCGGCAAGACTCCTGTGTATGGTGGGTGCCAGCTCTCCGCAGGCTTCAGGGAGTTGAGAGTTCCAGTGGGTGGACGTTGCCTGTTGTTCCCCTTCATGTTGCCTGAACTAAGTGGTTGCTTCTTGCCCGGCCCTGAGCCCGAGAGGGGAGAGGGGATCTGGTTGCTCTAGTCGGTGCTTGGAATCATCCTTGTTGTCTTGCATGAGGCCACAGTCCCAGGAATCTAGCAACTCCAGGTGACCCATAACTTGACTTTAGGGTTGGTTTTATCTTCATGCTGTGGCATAATTGTCAGGTGGAAGAGAGTCCCCTAATAATGCCAGTGTTCCCTGAGGAAGCCCTACTAACTCCTGATTCCTCAGAACCCAGTCAGCATGGCTGACCTCTGCTACCACTGCAGACAAGGTGGACTTCTCTGTTGGAGGGTAGTTGCTCAGTCATCAATGCAGAGCCGGGAAATACTGGTGAGAGGGAATGTTCAGGAGGTCCTTGGGTGTATGGACGGGTCTGCAAGGTGAGAGCAATTTGCCCACAAGCTTCCGGTCAGAAGGGTGCTGGTGTGAGCTCTAGTGGTGCAGGAGCCAAGAAAGGCAACTGTGGCTGCCTGATGCTTGTCGGCAGTAGAGGGGCAGAGAACAGTCCCATCAAGGCCATGCTTCTCCCTCGAAGTTCAAAGAAGGCTTTCTCAATGTGGTGGTGTTTGGATGCTGTGAATGTTACCCCTGGAGTCCTGGTTTCTAGAATAGCCCGAAGAGCAGTGGCCAGCTGCTTCAGGAAGGAATCTGGGAATGGGGGAGTAGGGATCCCACAGCTTTTGATGTTGGTTCTGTGTTCACCGAAGGTTTTGAGGAGGCTGGCACTTTCATTTTTAGCTCTCCAGGCATTTGCTTAACGTGAGGGCTCATTCCTGCTGAGGGCCGACTGAAGCTGCAGTCATAGCTGGTTCTGCTCACCCTGCCCTGGGCCCGGGTCACACATGGGTGGTGTGTGATGCGCCCCCAGCTCCCCATCCTGTCGGGGGTGAGGCAGGCACAGGTGCCTGGCAGTGCTACCGCAGGATTCCACCAGGAGCTCTGCCCCTCCACCTGCCAGCATCTTCCACAGACTGGCTGCAGGTGCCTGGTGCAGTCCAAGTGGGGGCAGAAGACAGCTGCTTCTCTTTGGGGGCTGTGACATGTGCACTTCTGCTCCACAGCTGAGGTCAAGCGTGTGGGAGACACAGTGCTGGGGATGGCCACACAGTGCGTGCAGATGAAGAACGTGCAGAGGACCACGCCACAGACCCTGTCCAATCTCTGCTTAAAAATCAACGTCAAACTGGGAGGCGTCAACAACATCCTGCTGCCACAGGGCAGGTGAGGAGACTGCATCCTGCACACCACCGCTGGTTTGAATGGTCAGTTGAGAGGTGCCCACAGTCCGTGTGGGATGAGTCTGGGGCCCTCAGAACCAGGAAGTCCTGGGGTGGGTAAGTGCCGTGGCTAGGCTCCCTAATAGTTGAAGATTAGTGTGGAGGGCAACTGCCACCCCTGCTCCCTGTGCTGAGGTCAAGACAGGTTCATCTGGAACGGCCAGGAAATGGCTTCCACTCTTGTCACTTGGTCCTTGGAGCATTAGTGCAGTGCATACTCCTAGTTCCCTCTTTGACTCCCAGCTTACTACTGGGATCAGAGCACTCTGGACTGAAAGCTCCATGTAGGAGCCAGTGTTGATGGGTCCTATGCCTAGGCCATGAAATCAGGCCTAGCAAGCACTGACTGCCAGCATGCGCCATAGGGCTAAGGGCTGGACTTGTGGAACTATCTTCTTCCTTGTGTGCCTCCTGAGGGGTTAGAGGTCGAGGCCAAAGTTAATGTTTGTCCTTTCCTGGACTGTGGTCCTGCGATAGAGGCAAAAGAAGAGAGTGACCATAGTAATCGTTTTGGTTGAGGGAACTGTCTCCGAAGACCAGGGGAATGATGGGCAAGCCTGTATTCTGGGGGACTGGCTGTAGCTCTCAGACTGAAGGAGGAGATGACAGTCATCTCTAGCTCTTAGTCTAGTTAGTGTCAAAGACAGGAAAGAGGAGTGGCTTGGGTTGGGCAGCTGCACTCTGGCCTGCCACAGGAGATAGGAGGAGGCAAGGTGTCCTCTGGTATTAAAGCCATGAGCCTGAGAGAGCACCCTTGAGTGAATAGCAAGATCTGAGCCCTGTGCCCAGGATAAAGTTCAGGGACACGGGTAGTAGACAGGAGGAGGCATCAAGGGAGTGTGTCTTGCATCACAGAATGCCAATGGGCCACACTGTGGTTTGATCATTGGACCCAGTGCTGTGGAAGTCACTGGAGACCTTGAAAGAGGAATCTTGTTACCATGACAGCATGGAGTTGAGTTAGGAACCTGGGAGGTAGCAGCAGGCTGGGCTCATGGGAAGCTTTGTTAGACTACAGATAAAAAATGAGAGGAAGCCAGGGGCAGGTGTGCCTTTGCTTATGGCATGTGAGTCCCATCCAGCCACGTGGAGGAACACAGCTGCTGTCTGGCTGTGCCATCTAGGTGGCCTGATGATGGCAGACAGTGATCAGGATCTGGGGGGTAGCACCCAGCTCCCGCTTTAACTGTCATCAGAGACCAGGGGACACAAGCATCTTAAATGTGGCAGACCACAGTGCTGTGAACTGTCAGTCTTAAGTCGCAGGCAATGTACCCAGCCCTTGCTGGAAAGGCTACAGAGATGCTTATCTCCCCTCAGAAAGTGCTTTCTCTTCTGTGTCTGTGTCCTGAGTGCCTGCTTAGGGGTAGGGGGTTGTCCAGGAGAATTCCTGTTGTGGTCACTCCCTGGGCCTTTGCTGAGACTGACTCACTGAGAGATTAGAGCGTGCATCTCTGAGTGCCTGACCCTTTGAACAAAGTGAAGTCACCTCAGGTAGAGATGTGGTGCTCAGCTGGTGTCATGGTTGCTCATGACCTGAGGGTCTTAACACAGAGAGTACTGTCTGGAGGAGTCAGTCCCCACACACTTAGGGACAAAAATGCCCTCTGACCACCTCAACTTTCCCTGCTAACAGGTGTCAAAATGTCTTCTGGTTTTTGTGATAGTCTCAGGCCACCTTTAGCAAAGTCAGTCTCTTTTGGCATTGAGGGTTATGTGTACGGCCTGGCAGTCGATAAGAATCATAGGAACCAGATGTGGAAGCATAGTCTTATGATCCCAGAATTTGAGAAGTAGAGACAGGAGGATCAGAAGTCCAAGGCCAGGCTGGGACACATGAGACTATGTCTCAAAACTGCAGGAAAGCAGACAGGACGCCTGAATCCTTTTCTGATGCCCATGCTGCATACCCTTTCCAGCCATAAGCAGACAGTGGGTGCTGGTGTGGGCTGCTGGCTTCTGTGTTCTTGTTGCGTCTTACAAGAGCAGTCATGATGGAAATAGAGATAGGTGTGCTGCTCCTAGTGGCTCCGTATGATAGGCCAGGCCCCTATAGTACAGGAGACAGGAGAAGCCTGGTAGTTCTCTGGGTAGTCCATGGAGGGTTGTTGTTTCTGTCTCTCCTGTATTCACTATATACACTGCCCCCCCCCCCCCCCCAGGGACTGAGCATTCAGCCTGGCAGTCTCAGCCAGAATTGGTGGGCATGAAGGTGATGGCTGGGATATTAGGAGATGGCATGCATGCTGTGGCTAGAAAACTCCTTGCTCTGGCAACCCTGAGAGAATGAGTCAGGGGGCTGGTGAGATCCTGGAGTAACCCTAGGGAAGTAGAAGGTTAAACAAGGCACCCCCAGTGCCCAGCCAAGACCGCATTGTTTAACCCAGTGGGCGGGCCTTCTGTGGATCTTTAAGGATAAGATCCTGATGGAGTTGCTGGGGGTGTCTCTTGGTAAAGTGCACACATACATGAGGCCCTGGGTTCAAGCTCCAGCACAGTGAAAACAGATGGGTTTGGCAGTTCATGCTTGTCATCCAGGCACTGAGGTAGAGGCAGGAGATCTCTTGGGAAATGTCCATTTTAGGGCTAGGGTTGCCCCCCAAGAGGGAGAGGAATAATGTCAGGCATCCATGCATTGTCTGAATCCTGGGTTGCCAACACCCACTTTCTTACAGGCCTCCAGTGTTCCAGCAACCTGTCATCTTCCTGGGAGCCGATGTCACCCACCCGCCAGCTGGGGATGGAAAGAAGCCTTCGATCGCTGCCGTAAGTACCCACACTCCCTCCTGCTCTCTTCTGGTGCCATGCTGCTCAGGTGCCAGTGGTTGTTTGCAGTGGTGTGGCAAGAACGCCATGGAGCTCGCTCACCTGCCTGGTTGCTCAGATCGTAAGCTCCTGGCAAAGGGGTGGCTAGAGGGGAAACCAAGGATGTCACAGTGGTTTGTAGACTGCCACCTACCCTGCTGTCTGGTGCATTTGGTGGGCTTCCCCCGTCCATCAAGACAGCCTTGGCTGACCATTCAGCAGCCACACCCTCTGCTCTCAGAAGACCACCCTGTCCTGTTAGAGAGGCCAGCCGTGTACTTCAGTAGTGAGGTTTGCCCCGTTGGAGTGCAGAGTGACAAGGGGGTGTTCTCTCACACTCTAGTCAGAGTGCAGGGTTCTGGAGCCAGGGTGGTTGAGTGTCTGGAAGGAAACGACAGGCTCTTTGGGTCATCTCTACCTTCCCACACAATCAGCTTCTCTGACATCAGTGCCACAGAGGCACCCACCTGCTGTGGAGTGGGATCAAATTCCCTGGGCATAGCAGCCTACAGCCTTGGTTAGAGTGTGCCCCAGCACCCTTTACTTGGCATGGCAATACCAGCCTTATACCCAGCTGAGCCTCAGCCTCAAGCCACACTCTGCTGTTTCTCTCCTGTAATTACGCTTAATCGTTCTGGGCTTTTCACGTGTGCTTTTGCTGTTGCCCATAGGATTGTGAAAGGGGGAGAGGCACTTGCTCTGTGCCTGGCTTATAGCAGATGCTAAACAGGCTCAATATCTGTCTTAAAGGCGGGGATGACATATAGGACAGGACCCCCCCCATTTGCATCATGTGTGTAGTGCACAGTTCAGGCTTGGATTGTAGGTGGCATCCACAGCCAGGATCCCAGGTCTTTTGCCACATTGGTCTCTACCTGGTCACCATTTTTTGTTTTTTTCTGGTTCACTGGGCACAGATCCTCTAAGCTTTGAAGGCTTAGGGCAGTGTATTAGTCCAAAATGCGTGTGCGCGCGTGCACGTACCCACACACACTTATAGCATGTAGTATTACAATGAAAAGGCCGAGAATAATCAGTAGTTGTTTAGTCCATGAGGTTGGATGTCTCTCTGCAATCCCAGCTGCTGGTTTTTAGTCTAAATTGGAATCTGCCTACAGCAACAGTAGTGGACAAACTGGCCAACAAGAGCTTGGGCAAGCAGGCAAAAACAAAAGGCTGCCACTAGGGGTGACTCAGATTTAGAGTGGATCTTCTCACCTCTGGCGTGGTAGTCTAGAAAATCCCTTGCAGCGTTCCCGGCTGCTCGGGAATGTAAGCTGATGGCAGAAGTAGGTGAGCTGACAAACAAGATCAGGTTTTAGAGCCAGGCTTCTCAACTTCTAAGGAGCAGATATCTATGTGTTTATTCCTGGTGCCCACAGTTCTCAGTCAGTAGGAATAGGTTTCCATTCATGTTGACTTATTCTATTTATACCAACTTGCAAAACTTTGGGGTCTATTTAAGAGGGAAACTGTCAGATTGGAAGAAAAACTGTAACCCCAGGCAGGGTTAGAACAAGGAATTCTGTAAAGCTTCTCAGATGGATAGCAGGTCACCTGCTTCCCAGGGACATGGGGCCCTTCCCTTAGAGCTTTCAAGGTATAAGGAAGTGCTTCCCACAGCTCCGAAATGGGCAGGTCCTAGCTATAACGGTCCCCTTGGTCCCCTGATCTCAACCCTAGAAGGATCGTGGTTTGCACTCTGGCTCTTCTATTTGCTTCTTCAGATGACCCCTTGAAGAGCCAGCCGGCTTCCTTCAAGGGGCTGTGACCTTCCTAGGGACAGAAGTCTGGTGACACTCCGTCTTTGATGTGCATATAGCTTTTTGGAGAAGTGTTTGCTCTAAACAAGAGGCACCCCCAGTTGCTTTTTTGCACAGATAATTCAACCACGTCTGACCTTACACACAGGCTGTTTTGCCTTTTCGGTTTCTTCCCCCCTGTTTTTTGGTTTTCCCGTTTTTCGAGACAGTGTTTCTCTATGTACTGAATCTCGCTCTGTAAACCAGGCTGGCATGGAACTCAGAGTGAGTTCCCACCTCTTCCTTCCAAGTGCTGGGTTTTAAGGCAGGCGCCACCACCACCCGGCCAGTTTTGCCTTTTCTTGTGTACTTTAGGGCAAATGTCTCATCTTTGGAAGGTATTTAGCAGCACCTTCTGCTGGGAGGGACATTGTGGAGAGATGCTTCTTTGCAGGACCCTAGAAGGAGGGACCCCTGAAGCCCTTGCCACTTGCTGACTGTATGTCCCACAGGTTGTGGGCAGCATGGACGCACACCCCAACCGCTACTGCGCCACCGTGCGTGTACAGCAGCATCGACAGGAGATCATCCAGGACCTGGCTGCCATGGTGCGGGAGCTGCTCATTCAGTTCTATAAATCGACACGCTTCAAGCCCACCCGCATCATCTTCTACAGAGATGGTGTTTCTGAAGGCCAGTTCCAGCAGGTAGGCTGCACCAAACTGTTGATTGGCTGGTCACAGTGTGGAAGGCAGAATATGTGTTTGGGCTGTGCTGCATGAGATTTTGAGGCCCGTGGTGGGCGAAGGCAGGAGTGGAATTGCGGATACAAGCTTGGGCAGTGGAGACCTAGGTGAGGGTAGAACCTGGCCGAGGAATATGAGAATTTGTGTTTAGGGTCCCATGACAATTTGGAGCTCTTTGAAGGTGGTGTCTAGGGACCAATACAGTGGATATGGAGAGCTGTAAGCCCAGGACAGTGAGAAGAGGGGACTTGTAGGTATCCCAGCCAAACTGCAGTAGCAGTATGAGCCCACTGTTCCCCGGCTGGCCCAGGCTAGTTTCTTCTCCACCTCACCCGGCGTCCCAGCAGCTGCTTCCTCGGGAGCCGGTGGCAGGGAATGGAGAAATAAGACATATGGGTCACACTCAGTGAGGAGGACGGGTCCCTCCTTCTTGGGGAGCATTGGTATCTGCCCTGGGCATTTCTAAGGTCTGAAGTGCTTGGGATTCTACTTGCCTTGATCACAGGCTGATGGCGTACAACAGAGGACGTGTGTGTTTGCCTTCCTGGCCAAGCCCTAGAACTGTGCTCTGCAAGAGCCTTGATGACAGCTTCCACAATACACTTTTGTGACCAGAGCCCTGTTGCCTTTAAGTAGAACCCCTGTGCTCCTAGTTTTTCCGCATGCTCCTCCCTGGTAGAGAGGCTGGATCTGCCTGTCTCAGCTCTCCCCCTCAGAGAATCCCAGAATCCCCATGACTGGATTGTCTCACTGGAATTCTAGGCATACTTTAGAAACATTAAACCTGAATTAAATCTGAGGTGCCAGGCGTGATAGCACTTACCTTTAACCCAGCTCTCAGGAGGCAGAGGCAGGCAGATCTCTGAGTTCCGGTCCTGCAAGGGCAGTGTAGCAAGCCCTTGTCTCAGAAAGAAAGGCTTGGGGGGTGGGGGGGTGCGCACAGAGACAAAGCTGAAGAGCCCCTGGCTTTAGTTTATATCTGCAGGCCCAGCTGCTCTGGAGTCTTGGGTGGGAAGAGTGCTTGAGTTAAGACTTTGAGGATAGGCTGAGGGAGACACTATCTCAACAAAAGTCCCCGCACTTATATAGCAAACCCTGACACGCGTTACATGAAATTTTCAATGCAGCTGGAAAGAATGGCTCTTGCTGAGTGCTGCTTCGTGGCAGAGCCAAGCAGCCCAGGTCTGATTCAAGATAGCGTTTGCTCCGTTCGCCTTTCCTCTACTCTCAGGAAGCAAGCAAGCAGCAAATGGCTCAGTTGTCCATGTCCATGAGTCATGTCCATGAGTCTTCACAGTGCTGTTTACTGAGCACCGTGAGACCACTGTAGGTTCCAAACCGTACAGGGTTTTTTGTTTGTTTGTTTGTTTGTTTGTTTTTTTAAATATTTATTATGTATATAATATTCTGTCTGAATGTATGCCTGCAGGCCAGAAGAGGGCACCAGACCTCACAGAGGGCTTACAGATGGTTGTGAGCCACCATGTGGTTGCTGGGAATTGAACTCAGAACCTTTGGAAGAGCAGGCAATGCTCTTAACCTCAGAGCCATCTCTCCAGCCCCGATACCGCGCAGTTTTGTGCGCTTTCTAATTTTAATCATGAAGCCTGGGTGCCCTCAGTAGTCTCCATGTAGATAAAAGTTTGGTCATAATTTTTACTATCACAACTATATAAACTTGAGTTTTCTGGAATAGGGGACCCTCAATTAAGAAATTGTCTCAATCAGGCATCATCTGTGGGACAGTTTCATATTGCTACTTGACATAAGGGCACCGTCTACTATGGCAGTGCCGTCCCGGGACAGGTCGGCCTGGGCTGTATGAGAAAAGCTAGCTGAGCTGAGTTTAGTTTGCATGCTATTAACCCCAGCAGTGAGGAGGCAGAGGAGGTAGATCGCTGTGAATTCAGGGCCATCCTTGTTCACATCGTCAGTTACAGGCTAATCAGAATGAATAAAAATGAAAGAAAACAAGCTAACAAGTAACGTACTTCATGTTTTCTGTTGTTTCTACCGTTTCTTCCCTCGGCTGTGGTCTGGAAGTATAAGCTAGGTGTAGATAAACCCTTTTCTCTCAAGTCTGCATTTGGCCAGTCTTTTTATCAGGACAGCCGGCAGAAGGCACAGTGGCTCACTGGCCCAGTGCTGGCTAAGCTGCCTGCAGAGCAAGGCCCCTGATGCCTGCCATTATCCTTCAGGTCCTCCATCACGAGCTGCTGGCCATCCGAGAGGCCTGCATCAAGCTGGAGAAGGACTATCAGCCAGGGATCACGTTCATCGTGGTGCAGAAGCGCCACCACACACGCCTCTTCTGCACAGATAAGAATGAGCGGGTGAGTCACAGCCCTGTGGCTGCCACAATCTGGGGAGCCTGTTTGGAGAGGCTGGACTCCAAGAGGAAGGCCCAGGCATGAAATGTCATTTTCCCAATAAATGATCTAGAGGTGTTTCAGGGGGAAGAAACCCTGTCAGAGCTCATGCAGGCCTAGTGATTAAACCCAGATCCTCTGCTTGCATGGCACACACTGCACTGATCTCCTAAGACCCAGAAAAGTGTTTTCTCTGCTTTTAACACTACAATGATGCCCACAGCTGTATATAGGGCACTTGCCTGGGAGACATAGGTTGCCCAAAGGGGCGGGAGTTCAGGGTGTCTACCAGAGCCTGAAGCCAGTACTGGGAGTGCAAGATCCATCGGGCTAGGATCATCACACCATGGTGGTTATTGCAGTTCAGCTTGGCCTGGTGGCCTCCAGGGTGGCTCAGTATTTGTGGGGAGGTATTTCTTGCCACAGTGAAAGGAACCACTCACCAATAAAATACTGTAGCTGTGATCACCAGTGTTCCCAGAGCTGTATACTAAAATGACATAGAGGGGAAAGGACCAACTGAAGCTTACAGAACCTCGAGGGGAAATGACAGGTACAGGGTCACGGGTGGATGCTGTAACACACCTGCCAGAACCTGAACCAGGCAGGAATGAGTGGGAGCAGAGAGTGGGGGTGTGGTGAGAAGGGCAGCAGGTGGCGGACACCCATGGGAGGACACGGACGGCTCGGGTGGTTTCCAAACCTTGATCTTGTAGAAGCCATATGTTTTGATCATTATGCAAATGAGGTTTTAGACTGCTTGACACTTTCACTTTGCTGCCCGTAGCTCATGCATTAAAGATAGAACAAATAGAAACTCCAGAGCGCTCACAGCTGAACAAAACCAAATGGTTTCATACCAAATCAGCTCAGCTTGGAGACGTGAGTGCATTTATTATAAATGTGAAATGACCCTGCAGACCATGAAGGGAAGCTGTGGAGCTTGTAGCTGGGGTCCCTTGCAGCCCTATATCTTTGTTGCCAGGGGTATTAGGGCTTCCTTCCCCAGAGTGGGCAATAATTAGAAGATAGTAAAGATGTGGTGTGATTCTGCTTCCCGGAATGTGCAGGGGGCAGAGGATCCCCTCCAGGGAAGCAGAGGAGACTGGCGATGTCAGTTCCTACAGATGTGACTCTTAGCTAATGGATTCTGTAGTATGTCCCAGATGCCTATGGAGGAGTTATTTGTATTTACAAAATCAACTCAGGAACTTAACCCAAAAGTTCATTTTTGAAAGTCACCATGCCAGAAGGCATTCTAGGCAGATTTCTCACCCAAACTTCAGCTGTGGGTCCTCAAGAGAGGGTGGCAGAGAACAGCAAAGGAGTAATAGCAGGAAGACTATAGAAACATCATTCATGCAGTTTTAGAAAGGAGATAGGTTATTTACATGTGGACAGACATGACCTTGTGACTGGGATCCGCCCTGTATGTCCACTCCTCAGCCCCTCGACCACGAGGCTCCACTTCTTTCCCTGGCCCTGCCTACAAGGATAAGGCTGTTGGGAGGACTGACCAAGACATGGCCCCCAGTCCCCATGCGTTGTTCAAGAGGCGATGCCCACGCTGGGGTGGGAGTGCAGATCCATAGCCAGCTCGGAGCACAGTTCTGCCAACACAAGAAGTGGAGACGGTGTGTGGAACTGTTTAGCTGAGCATAGTCACGCATGCCTGCTGTTCCACACTCTGGGGCGTGCCATGAGTTGAGTCCAGTCTGCAGTACTCAGTGAGTTCTAGTCCAGCCTGGGCTACAGGAGACTGTCTATAAATAAACAATAGAGGGATTTCATGGCATTATTGCTGTGCTAGTAAGAAAAGTACAAAGTAACTACCCCAGTGGAGTCTCTGTCTCTCTCTCTCTCACTCTCATAAAAGAAATGTTTCTAGCTAAGCACAATGGTACACAATGCTATTCCAGCACTTGGGAGGTGGTGGTGGGGATATCATGAGTTGGTCTCATCCTTAGCCACATAGAGAGTTGGAGCCTATTTAATGCAGGTCCTTTAGAAAACAGACTGCTTGAAGGGAGCATCTGGCTGCAGCGTAAACAACAAGCTCTGCCCACCATCCCTGCCACACCTGATGAGCTCTCTCTGTTGCTGCAGGTTGGGAAGAGTGGGAACATTCCAGCAGGCACAACCGTAGACACGAAAATCACCCATCCAACTGAATTTGACTTCTACCTGTGCAGTCATGCCGGCATCCAGGTAAGGAGGGAAGCAGTGCTGTCGTACATTTGAGATGTGTTGTGAGTATGCCTACGGGGCTCCAGATCATTCTGTGGCCGGGAGAGGTGGCCTCGGGCCCAGGTACCAAGACTGTTTTTGGGTCAGACACTGGGAAAGAAGAGGTAGCAGGAACCTGTGTGGAAGTGGGTGTGGTGAGACCATTGTGGAAGGGACAGCAGTGGTCAAGGGGTGCGGAGTGCTTGTCCTGGCAGCGGGTGAGCTAGAAGTTGAGGCTACAGGAAGCCGCCCTAGTTGGGGCCTGAAGGAGTTCAAGTTCAGCTGCATGCTGGCTACCAATAAAATGCCAGGACAAGGAGGGTGCTGGAATGCTCTGTGACTTCTGGAAGCCAGCATCCCACCATCTTCCTGCTGCTAGAGTAAGGTCTTTGAAGACTGATAGCAGGTAGACAAGGAGGAGCCACCGTTCTTTCTGCTAGGTGAATGCCACTCTTCCTTGTAGGAGTCTTTGGAGGGAAGAGCACCATCAAATATTCCCAAACCCTACTTTTTAAATGTTAAAATGTAGCTTTGAGAGTTGTGTTTTTTTTTCTTGGTATAATAAATAAAACATTGTAGAATATCCAGTATATCTAGGGGGCATTGTCTTTCCCTCAGCCCCTTCTAAAATGTTATTTTTTATTGCTACATCAGATTTCTGGGATGTGGGGTACAATGTGATATTTTAACACAGGTATGCAGCCTATGACGGTAGGGTGGAGTAGCCTTCACACCCATCAGGTACCTCAGACTTTGAACAAACAGTTTCTCTGTATTAGAAACATTGAAAATTTTCTCTGGGGGCTGTCTTGAGTCTTGGCTGCATTAATATTACTCTGAGATGGGCATGATTTTGAAATAGATGATTCTGAGGGTTTTAAAGACAGGGTGTTTCTGTTTTACTGACTATGGTCTCAAATTTGAATCTTCCTTCTTCAGCCTCCCAAGAGCAGACTCACAGATGTGTGCCAGCATGCCCGTCTTAGGAATAATTATTGTTGTTCTTGGTAAAGGTCTGTTCCTGTTGACTCTTGTGACCTCTGACCTCTTTCAGGGGACAAGCCGTCCTTCTCACTACCATGTGCTTTGGGATGACAATCGTTTCTCATCTGATGAGCTGCAGATTCTGACCTACCAGCTGTGTCACACCTACGTGCGCTGCACACGCTCTGTGTCCATACCGGCACCAGCCTACTATGCTCACCTGGTGGCCTTCCGCGCCAGATACCACCTGGTGGATAAAGAACATGACAGGTAAGTGTCACACCTGGAAAGGGGTTTGAGACAAGGCTGGTTTCTTATAGGCGCTGACGACTGTTTTCCCTGGAAGAAGTGACCATCCCCATGGCCGTTCGTCAGCTGTGTGGCCGCAGCCATGCTGTTTTCGCTGTGTGTCAAGTTCCTGTTCCTGGATTGGTGTCTGGTAAAGACTACATTCTTTCTCTTCCTCTGCAGCGCTGAAGGAAGCCATACCTCTGGGCAGAGCAACGGGCGAGATCACCAAGCGCTGGCCAAAGCGGTCCAGGTCCACCAGGACACACTGCGCACCATGTACTTTGCTTGACATGTTGTAGTGTTTAGCAATTGTGTACCAAGTTGGATTCACACGAGACCAGCTACACTCAGACCAACAGATGCCCAGCCCTTCCGTGACAGCCAGCATCGAACATGAGACGTCTTTGGTTTTATTAGATCCTCCATTTTCCAGAATGCCTTCCGTCCCAGATTTCAAACTTGGATTTTGAGCTGCAGGCCTGTATGAGACCCCATTGTAGGAAACGTGGTTTGCCAAAACCTATAAGCTGCTCACCGAAAGAGTCCGTGTTTCCTAAAAACAAAACAACAACAAAATGTCCTCAAACCAGTCTATGAACTCTCAGGGCTTTAAAACATTTTTAATTTATTTGGTCATTCGATTTACTCGTTTTTAAAACCTGATTCTCAATGAAATCGCTGGGCTCTAACTAGCTGTGAAGGCTCTGAGCGTGAAAGCAACACCATCACCATTGGGGTTTTAAAGCCTGACCCTAAGAAGTTGTCACTAATGTTGTTCTAGGGGTGCCACGTGCTCTGCAGCCCCAGGGCAGATGGCTGCTTGGTATCCATGGTGTCTCTCGCCTGCCACTGCCTGCCCTCGAGGCCTGAACGAAGGCGTAGTCGCAGAGAGGACAGTCACATGTGTTTGCAGCAGTGACGGGTCCGAGAGATTGGCAGACAAGTGCCATTTTGATAAAAATTTATTTAAAAAGAGAAAAAAATACAATATTACTGACAGTCTAATCATAAGATTTGTCCTGTAGGACTGTGACATTTATTTTCCAAAGTTTCTAAAGAATACGGGTCTGTGGTGGTAAATACAGTACAATCCTTTTTCACTGTTATGTCTTTAATGTAAGAGAAGAATATATATATCTGGTTTGCAGTATTAAATGTGGTAGGTAGATGCTGTTTTCCTTTTGTTGACTATGGGGTGCTTCTTGTGACCTGTTTCCCATATCAGGAGCTGTTTGGAGCCTGGAGACAGGCCACCTCTTGTGGCTTTTAGCGCTTACGTAGAAGAATATGCAACTGGCTTCATGTGACAGCGATGCACCCCTCCTTCTTCCCCTCCCCAGTGTGGACTGTGTAGCTTGTACCTCTGGGAAGGACAGTGTGCTTGCCAGGAATTTGCCGTCCTCCCCTGCCTCATCCATGTGTATCGCTCAGCCGATGAAGCACAAATGGATTTTATTTATTCTTCCATTGCTGGGGAACAAGCTCTCATCAGAGTGCACCTCTCTCTGGGTGCAGTCTGGAAGGTGGCTTTCATAGGATCTATGCACTGAAATGGAGAGAGAGCTGCTGATGGTGGCTCTGCTGACGTGGGATGGGCAGGCAGGAGGAGCTGGCGGTGGGCAAGGCCAGCAGGGAAAGCACAGACTGCTCTGGGCCCCAACCTGGCTTTGCCGACCTAGAGACCATTGAACTGAGAAGGGGACACTACCGAGTGGTTCTGTAGGTGGCAGCAGCCACTTCAGTGTGTGTGTCCAGTGGGGCTCTTCGTGCTTGTCCTGAAGCTGAGTGAGAATCGGATCCGCGTTCCACACACAAGTTCCCAGTAGGAACAGGGCCTCCTCTTCCTTGCTGCTTTCTGCTCTGTGGGTTTTCTCTACCCCTGCTGATGGTCCTCACCCCCCCCCAACTCTGTGTGATTTACCTCTGACCCTGCAGTGGAGGGAGGGTGCCAGCCCACCCCGCCCCCCACCGTGGTTGGCACCTCGTGCTAGAGGACACAGTGCCACCACTGCCCATCATCCACCTGCTCTGCACCTGGTGGTGGGGCAGACACAGTGACCTGGGAAGTCATGCCCTCAGCGGGGTGTGTGTCTGTGTGTGCATGTGGGTGTCTTACTAATGACATTAGTCTCTTCTTGCTGTGTCTTTAAAAATCTTTTAACGTGACAAACCTCGGTCTCAGAAGCACTGGGGCTGCCCGCTATCCCATTGGCAAGTGGCACTTTCTCAGACTGTTTCGAAAAGGATATAAAAACACTTTAACTCACTAAGCACGGTCAGGCTGAAAAACTTGTTCAGCTGGTAAACTTTTAGAATCTGAAATTAGATTGTTTTTAGCTATCCTTAAAACCATATGTCTCACTGGGCGCTGGTGGCACACGCCTTTTATCCCAGCACTTGGGAGGCAGAGGCAGGCGGATCTTTGTGAGTTTGAGGCCAGCCTGGTCTACAGAGTGAGTTCCAGGATAGCCAAAGATACACAGAGAAACCCTACTCTAAAACCAAAATAATAATAAAAATAAAAAAATTATAAAATACAAAAAAAAAAACATAAAAACCATGTCTCAAAGGTGTGTCCTTAGCCCCTTGCCATGGGATCTCAGTCATGCAAATGAGTGTGCTACAATGCAGATTCTCAGGCCTGCTGCCAGCCTTTTGGATCTGGCGCTTGCAGCCGGCTGGGCATCTGTGTTTTAGCCCCTTACCCCCACCCCAATGTGTCTGGAGGCTTTCTGAGGCAGTCCCTCATGAGGCCAAGGGAGCAGGAAGGAACCTGCTTGAGCTCACACCTAGGAGCACTGTGAGCTGGGGAGGACATCTGAGATGGGAGTTTTGTTTGTTTTGATCATCTTGAAGGATAAGTTTTCTTTCTTTTTGATGGGCTAAAGTACTTGAGGAAAGTGCTTTCTTTGGCCCACGCTTATTTGTGACACTTTGAACATGAAAACCTTCCCCAGACCAAACACCCCTGATTGAGTTTAGGTACACATTGTCCACACGTCCCATGGTGCAGTTCATAAATGGCTGGAGTTCCAATTTCTCAGGTAAATAATTGTTTCCCCAAATTTTTTCCCTCCCCTTATTAGCATAAATTTTGAGGTAGTATGAGACCTCAGTCTTCTGTGGGAGCCAGCTATCAGACTGCACCTGCACCTACAGCTGGCGACAAGTGCCGCTAGCTCCTGAAGTATCTCCTTGCGGGAGAAACTTGGCCAAGGTTGAGGTGCCCACTAGCTAGCTGTGTTCCCAACCCCACTGATAAGTAAGGTGTGCCTTGCTTTAAGCAAACTGAATGTGATTGTGTTGTTATGCCCTGTATCCATTTGGAAGGGAAATTAGGGTGTGCCTGTCTCTAAGAGAGGCTGCCCAATCAGACTCCCATGCTGGGACTCTTCCTAGTATATTGTAGGATATTTACTTTTCAAAAACCAGTCATGACTTCAATCCCTTCTCCACTGTGTGCACCATGCAGCAAATTCTCCACGTGCTGATGAAGCAGTTCAAAACTCTAGGGAGACCGTGAGGCCCCATTTTGTAGATGAGCCCTTAATACTATCAAAACTCCCGTCCTGTCACTACGCGTTACCAGCCCAGATTGTCTTAGTTCCCGTCGGCCCTGAAGCTCAGCCTACCTGTACTTCTAGAAAGGGGCTGTCTGGGGATGTCCTCACATGCACACTTGATACTATTTGGTCCATTCTGCTTTCCCCATATTTGGCCTCTTCGCCACTCCTCACACCCACCAGCTTACTGGCCTCTAGGCCACAGGGCACTGCCAGTGGGGAGGCTGCTCGCTCCATGCTGTCTGCAGCTGACCCAACACCTGTTTTCCTAATGTTTACCTGTTACTGAGCGCTGGACAGAAAGACAGCCCCAGCGGTGGGGTTGGGCAGGGTTTTTGTTGTTGTTGTTGTTAGATGTTATTTTATTATTTTTAAGTGCAAATGTTGCTATTTATTTTTTCTCTCCTGCTCTGGTTTGATTCGGCTGAGTTGGCTGTCCCAATGCATGTGGTACCTGATGGACATGGTAGAGATTGTTTCCCCTAACTTTTATAAATGACCCAATGTTTACCTTTGGGCTTGCGGATGCTTTATTTTTGGAAGCCACAGATGTAGTTTTTCTGGATGAATTGTTTTTCTTATAGATGCAGCAGTATGCTTTTGTATTGATCTGCAGGGTGATTATAATTTTATTTTTACAAGCAGTTTTTCAATCAAATTCTATATTTGATACAATGTGTTAAGGGTAGACCAGCCCCGAGTCATGCAGCTGGGACCCTTGAGTGTCCAGGAGGCCTTAGGGCTGGGTGACCTCTCTTGGCCCTGTGGTGGTAGCACTGACTGGTCACAGGAACCTTCAGGGTCCTTCAGCGTGACCCTGACCTTTTGGATTGTTACAAGGATTTCATGGGCATTTTGCTACGCAGGCAGTGGACAATCCCCGTGGCCCCAGACAAGCCATAAGCAACCTTTCTGTGACCTCCCTGACTCATTTCTACACCCCTGAAAAAAGGAATGTGCCCTAAGTAGAAGTTACACTCCCTTGGTGTTCATATGCCTCATTTGCAAATGTAAACACTTTGTTTGTTTTAAGCCCTTCCCCACAGTAACCGTGCTGCCTGGCTCGCTGCAGGCAGTGCGCTAGCTCTGTTCTGGGTGCCCTGTTGCAGACCCGCTGGCTCCTGGAAGTTGCACTGATCTTGCGACAGTTTTCTTTACTGCATCCAACTCCATATCTGCTGTACTCATTGAAGTGATTGTAAACAGATCCACAGTGGCAGGAGTTGATGTTTATGTGGGACATTGCCTTGCTTCTGCGATCCCAACACACATTTCAGTATTATATGCTAGAGTGTGCAGACTGGATCTGTTCTCTCAAGCATTGTGGACTAGCCGTGTCTTGTTTTCAGACAAGAAGTTCTCCACCTCTGCACAGGACAGCATGCTCTCCGAGACCTGAAGGCTTGAATGTAAATGGATTAGTTAGGAGTCTTTGTGGCGCTTTTGGTCTGTTTAGTTTTCTTGTGATCTGCCAGGCCCCCAGAACTATGTCATTCTAGTTCCTGTGACCTGTGTCAACTTGGATGACATCGGAATGGCCCAGCCAGTGTTAACGGGCCATCGCTGTATTTCTTTGACTGGCCCTCAACTTAAAGCTGTGAGGTCACTGCTGTGTCAGACTGTCGTTTATGGTGCATCGATGGATGGCAGGGACATCTGAAGCCCAGTGCAGGCCCTCATGCCTTGTGACCCTGCTGGGTTCTAAGTACAGGCTCTCTCTAGTCAGCCCCACATAAACTGTCTGTGGTCAGGGTACCCAGTGTCTGAAACAAAAGGAGCTTTTACATTCAAACCGCTGTGTGTGTGTGTGTGTGTGTGTGTGTGTGTGTGTGTGTGTGTGTGTGATGTCAGTGCCATTGCAGAGCCCTCACCTTGTGTCTTTTGGATTTGTTCTGCCATTTATTGTCTCAAGTTGAATGTATCGGCTTAGCCAAATCACTACAGAAGGTGGTTTCTCCAAACCTTTTAGACAGATGCATAAAAGCTACCTCTGACTTCTCATTGGTTTGTGTTTGCTCTGAAGCACCGCTATCCACACTGAATATAGCCAAAATATCACCTGAATCAACTGAGTTGTGAACTCCTCTGTTCAGCTCTGGCTTGAAAATGTGTGTGCCATACTGTGACCTGGGGCGGCCCCCTCTGCTATCGCTGACCAGGGATAACCTCAGCACCGCCCAGCTACAAGAGTCTATCACCTGAGAGGCTGGCAGAAGGGCTTCTCTGCATGGGGAACGTACATCCTCCAGGCTGTTGGAAGCGACTCCATGCAGGGCCACATGTGGCTGAGCCTGGAGGCAGCCTGTTCCTGCCTAGTTTTGCATCTTTTCCCCTGCTTGCTTACTTATGAATGGGTTCCTTGCTCTCTCCTTCCTTTTTATACACTATAAACTCATAAAGGTGCTCCAACACCGACTCGTGCAGATAATGTATTTAAAGCAGTTGCATGGATTCAGACAGTACAGGCACAGCTAGCTGACCTTTGATCTTGGGTTTGAATGCGACGGACTGAAAGCTCTGTGCTCTCGCCCTAGGCCCTCAGATGGAAGGAGTAATGGGCTCTTTTTGAGTACAAGTCCCCACTCGTGTTTGACAGTGCATGTCTGACTTAGAGGTTTGCCATGGGGACCCGCCACCTCTAGCCAGATCTCCTGTGGTCGTCCACTTTGCTGTCCAGAAGGCCATCCTTATACATCATGGCTCTACCTTCATCCCTTTGGCCTCTCTCTTAAAGTTTACTTGGCCTCATTTTGAAAAGTCAGCATAAGCTCCCAGATTCCTCCACTAATTGACTTAGGAAATCATGACACAGTTGGACAGTGTCATGAAGGCCTGGGTATTGAAGGGCATGTGGAGGGGCCTCTGCCAAATGTCTCTGCAACCCTCCTCTCTAGTTGTAATGCATTGTTGGGGGTGGGGTGTCACCTTCCATGCTTTTGGTGTGCAAGCATTTGTGGCACCCGGGTCATTTGGATCCTCTGGCTTGGCTGAGGGTTTGGTGAGAATCCAGGGAGGCACAGGGCTCTAGACATACTCTGTCTAGGGCCTCACCCAGGTACAGTGGTATGAGCTACAGTCCTCAGAGGGCACCAGCAAGAGGAACCTTCCCTCTTCTGGGGGATACCAAGCAACCCAAAGCCCTGGCCACTGCAGTTTTGAGGGCTAAAAGGTTGCAGGAGCTCTCGTTTTTGTACAGACAGTACCTTCTTCCCTGAGGGGTCACCAGAAAACAATTGTGGGAACCTTCCTCATTCAGTTCTTCCTGCCTCTTCAAACTCCTTAACATCAGTGTGGTCACAAGAACACTCAACACCAGCTACCAGCAGAGTGAGGTATACCTGTGGGGACAGGTCGTAATGGCCGCTGGAGGTTGAAGCAGGGGCTAATCTTTAGTTGACCCTACCCACGGAGCTCGTCACTCCTCAGTTCCTCCTTGCAAACTGTGATGCCGCCCTGCAGCCATAGAGGCACCCTAAGTCCCATCCTGGGTCTTTTGTGTCCTCACAAGCAGGCTCGCCTTTTGCTGGGGTTTGAGGTCAGGTCTTTTGTTCTCTGCCCCTCAGCTCAACCGTCTGTTGTATAGGAAGTAGGTTTAGAGGGAATTGGAATTGTGTCTTTGTGAATCTGTGTGACGTCCTCGGGCGGAAGGTGCTATTTGGTCCTAATGGTATTTTGGAATGCTTTTTCATTGTTGTTACTCTGTTCTGTGACGTGGGTCACTTAAACCGAAAACAGAGGACTCCAGCTTTGACATGCCTATAATGGCATTCTTATCTCTGACCTTCTCGAGCCAGGGATGAAGCAGTTCCCTAGCCTGGTCTCATTAAAACCACCCTCCCTGTCAAGGGATGTTTTTGTTGGTTTTAACAGGGGAAGTGATCTGCTTTTTTTGGTTTGTTTGTTTTTTTTTTTTTTTTTTAATTGCATAGACAAGGCCTTTGCCTGTGAAGCACTGGCTGTGGGTGGATAATACATTAACAGTAACAATTTTGGTTCCTCTTTAAAACCAAATAGACCAATGTGATTAAACCCCGAAAGGGTACAATTCCCCATTAAATTGGAATTTGAGTCCTGCGTTTGGAAAAGAATTTTAGTGTAGTTGTTAAAAGTTAAGAATTTATAACTGTAGGCGCAAATGAGTTTTTGTTTAACAACAACAACAAAAAAAAAAAGGTTGTAAGAGAATGATTGTAGGCTTCTGTGCAACAAAGTGTCTACCGCCTCAAATGCAGGAAGAGAATGTAACCCTGAACCCAGACTCTTTCCTCTCATACTTCAGATTACCTGCCTAATGTGTATTGAGGGGTTTAACCCTGGGTTTTTATCAATTTTTCTAGTTTTATTTTATTTTTATAAAATAACTGAAAAAGAACCAAAAATGAATTCAGAAGTTCCCCCTGTGGCTCCTCGCCCAGTCTTATCCCCCCCCCACCCACACACACTGAAGCATTTTTTGAAGACATTTTGAATCAAAATGTATTACATCCATTTAACGTTTGCTACTTTCTGAGAAGTGGAGTGGCTCCAAAGGCCTGTTTTCAGGTGGTACTCTGTATGTCATGGACATGTTTGTACCTGTACAGTGGATCTGTATGACGATGTCTTGTGCTTGCAGTTTAGAAACCACGCAGTGCTGTTTTGTAAATTGACAGTTCCTGTGTAAACTATTATTTATGACCCTTGGCCCCTCTGTATAATTTTTCATTTGCTACATGGATTGTACAATTAATTATAAAATTATAGTACCTGCTAAACTCAACTTTGAGGCTTCATGTCATTGTCTTCAGTCTGATGCCAGTCTGTGGATCGTCAGGATGCCCAGGCCTTGCTTGATACCAGTAGTGATGTCACTTTAAATTAAGCCTTAATCAGATAGTGAATTTGTACATTTCAGAGTATGCAAAAAATAAAAAATAATATAGGCAGATGCGTTTCAACTGTCCAGATCCAGATGCTCAATCGTAACTCCAGCACGTGCTCCCTCTGGAGTTAAAAGGGGTCGCTGTTAGGGTTACATTCTTCCCCTCATTTGTGCTCTCCGTCTTGGCTTGATGGGAACAGGTCGGTTGTGCGCGTTTCTGTACCGGTCTGGCTAGAGACCTCGGCAGGGTCATCTTCAAACGCCTGGTTCTCTCCTCCAGTCTGAGATGAGCCTTGGCTGCTGGGAACACGACTGAGACATAGGTTTTCCCAGCCTGCTCCTAGGCCAGGCTCTCAGCGGGCACTGCCACCTGTCACTGCTTCTGAATAAATCACAACAGATTTTTGTTTCTGTAAAAGCATCTTCAATCTTGGGATAAGATAGAGGGGACCCAGCTTTCTATACAATGTGGATCTACCTCAGTTAAACAGTTGGGTGCTATTTACTAAGTCTGTCAAATTAAATTGGAAAATGTAACCAAACAGTGGGACGTAACGAACTCCACATGAAACTTGAAATCATCGTTTCCGTTTATTTAATGATATTTTTATTTATTTTGTGCCTTTTCTGTTAACCCTAATACATTTTTGAAATTCAGAATAGTCATTTTCTCTTGCAAGTGGGGAGCCCCGCCTGATCATGCCAGTATCCCATCTGACTGCTCTCGTTGTTACTTGGGATCCCAACCTGCCTTTTTGGAAAAGGGAGGGGAAAAATATGTCCAAGAGCAAATTTTACACAAACATTATTCACATAACATACCCCAGCTATTCTATGCATGTGTTCATAACTGTCACTTCCATTTCTGTGCCATTGAAGAGGCACACACCCAAAAACAGACACCCCAAGTACTCGTTTCTGCTTTTTTTTTTTTTCTTTTTTGCTGACCATATCCCTCTTCCTCTGGCATGTTTTGTATAAGACTTTATTTCATAAACAGCAAATGGACTGTTGTCGATTCCATCTCCTAGTTTGCATGGTGGAAGTGCTAAACACCACGGGCACTGGAGAGGGCACCACGCCCGTGGCCGTCTGGAGGTGGGGAAGGTGTGCGCTCTGCCGCAGCCCATGGTTTCTGAAGTCAGGAACACTTTTTGATGGGTAAGAAAATAAGATCGGAGATCAATGACTTTCCACATTTTTATATTTGGCAGTTTACAAGTCTAGACTTTTCCTACTATGGCAATCTTTTTTTAACAGTTCTTTGGCGGTAACACAATATTTTGGAGTCTTATGAATTTGATTTTATACCAATCAGAAATAAAGTTAGGAATCTTTCCTGTAGTGTATGTATAGTCTTAGTCTTTTAAAGAGATCTCTGGATTTTAGAAGAACCAACTGTACTTGGTGGCAAGATTCCGAAAGGTGATTTGGGAAACACCCGCTCCCCCTTTTCTCTACCTCTCCCACCTCTCCCCTTTGCAGGATCTCAAAGGAAAACAAGTAAGAGAAGGGATGATTCTCTTGTTAGACGTGTGTGGGTTTGGTTTGGTTTTGAAGCTTCCATCAGGTTGATACGTAAGCTATATTTTATAGACTAAATCCCCCTTTAGTATGCTGCATATGGATATGAAGCTCAGAGCTGTTGCACTTTCTCTGTAATCAATGCCCTACAATTGGCTTGCCGGAAGCATTTTATTTTAACCTGACGAGTACTTTGGGCAGGTGATGAAATTAACATAGGTACCTCAAGTCAAAGACCTGCGTGTGCTGCATTTCGGTTTGTTGTTTTGGTGGGTTTTTTGGTTTTCTTTTTAATTTGGGTTTTTTGGGTTGTTTTTTTTTTTAGCTTTTCTATGTAGCATTATATTTTACTTGTTTTGATATTATGCTTTCTGGACCCCATTAGTCTGTTGAAAGAAAAACCCAAAGTTAGTATCCTCCTTTTTTCTCCCTGCAGTATGTGGTTCTAAAGGTCACCCTACATAGGAATCTTTCCCCAAGCACACTGAGGAAAAGGGTACTACGCATCTCAGCAGGCCGCGCCGCTCAGATCTTTGTGTTCATGCTGCTTCCTCGGTTTCCTTCTCCACATCACCCAAGGGTGGGTACCTTCAGTGCAAAGTTGTGGCATCTTAACTTTAACACACAGACCTCATGGGTGTCCGTCCTTTGAGTCAGTAGCATGGCCTAAAGGCAATGACAGGGTGCAGCAGCTGGGCAGTCTGGCCTTGGAGCAGCCGCCTTTCCTGTCTTTCTCGGCACTCGCCCACATTGACCTGGTTGGGTGGTCTGCATGGACAAGACAGCTGGTGAGAAAAGCTGAATGCTGAGACACCGTGCATCTCTTGTCGTGTTTAAGCTTAGCTGGGTCCTTTCAAGTTTGTTTTCACAGCTTACTAGGTTAAATAGTTTGCACTATTTTTGCAATAAATTCATGGGAAACCTAACAGCTACTTACGTTGTTCTTACTGTGTGTATAAACTAATACTGAAAGTTTGGTATAGTGTTTTTCACCTCCTTCTGTAGTCCCCCTAACATGCACAGAATGCTGTAAATCTGATAAAATATGTGAATGATATTTTATAAAGTTATTTTGTATGGTGTCAATTTTGTTTTGCCTCATAGTATGTCAGCAAAAAAATAAATAAAATTCCTCATATTTACAGCTGCCTATTCCAAAGATGTCTAGTTACTGTCTCCCTTGAGAGCACTGGCAAATGCACAAGCTGAGTCCAGTGTCCCTGGTAGAGTGCATCCTTCCTCTGTTCTGCAGAGCTCTGTACCCAAGGACCAGAAGTGTGGAGTATAAGAGAGCTAGGGGTGTCGTCTACACCAGCAGCACAGAGAAACGAGAAATCATTCAGTTGAGCCAGCCATGGACAAGGCTCTGATCTGAGCTCCAGACTGTGAAAACTGACACCTGATTTTTTTCCCCCTACATGAAGCTAGCTAGCTCTGTTGACCTATGTGGTGTAAACGTGGTGGTGCTCTCAAGTCCCTGGAAGCCTCTCCAGGATGATTGAAAAGTGAAGGTGGTGTCAGAAAAGGGTGGGTGGGGGGACGCAGGCAACTGAAAGTCCCTAGAATGAACTGAACATTTGCTGTGGCAGACCTGTGCACACCTAGTTCCCTGGATAGTCTGGAATGTGGGGTGGGTACCGCTAACAGTTCTCCATTAACAGCTTAATTGGGTGGGGTAGGTTCTGTCAATAGAACGATTCTTAACATAATTATGGGTGCGGGGTTCTCTGCAGGCTCCCCAGGGCGATGGTTCCTGTAATGATTTTTAGGAGGGAAAAGGCTCCTGACAACCACAGCAGCAACAGGCAAATGACTCCTAATGCTCTGCTTTGTTCATCCAGTCTTTTCAACTGGAACAGTGGTTGCCAGGGTAACATGGGGATGAAGATGCTGGAAAGAGAATCATTTTTAAAAACAGATGTGGAAGGTAAAGTGGACAGGATCCCAGCACATAGGCAGAGGTAGGGAGATCTCCGAGTTCTAGGCCAGCTAGGGCTACACAGTGAGACCCTGAAGGGAAGAGAAGAAATGTGGTCATTAGCATGTAGAGGCAGAGATTAACCGAGGGTGGTGGGGAAATATTTGGGGTGTTTTGTGTATTGAATAGTGAGCAAGACTGACAGGCCCTTATACCCTGATTTTTGGGATGTTGAGACAGGATTACAAGTACCAGGCCAGCCTTGGCTACATATGCAAGACTATTCAAAAAAAAAAAAAAAAAGCCTTCCCAGTGTCCAGCAAACACAGAAGACTTTTTTCAGTTGCATGGGATTGATGAGCTGGGCTCTCCTCTGGGAATTGGGCAGCTACGTACATGTTGCTGCTGTTTGTTTTGGTGCCCAGAGTCCAGTGGCCCTATGCCTGCTAAGCATGAACTCTGTCTGGTTCATATCTCCAGCCAGAAATGCTAACTCTGAAATTTCACAAAATTATCAGTAAGACATCAGAAAAAGCAAAGAACCTGAATTTACTCCAATAAAGCATGTTACTGTAAAATATATACAGACCTTTAATGGGAAAGGAAAAGCAAATTCTGTACAATAAAAATGCATAGTCCTTTTTTTTTCTTTTTTTTTTTTTTTTTTTTTTTTTTTGGTTTTTTGAGACAGGGTTTCTCTGTGGTTTTGGAGCCTGTCCTGGAACTAGCTCTTGTAGACCAGGCTGGTCTCGAACTCACAGAGATCCGCCTGCCTCTGCCTCCCGAGTGCTGGGATTAAAGGCGTGCGCCACCAGCGCCCGGCTTTGCATAGTCCATTTCTTAAAAAATACAAAAAATTCAAAGGTAGTACAAGTACATGAGCTACATGTGTAGCCATTCGTGAGAACTGGTATCCCTGGGATCAGACAGCTGACATGGAGCTTCCAGGTCCTCCTGCAAGTTCAACATGAAGCTCAGGGGTATGTGCTTCTGTACCCAAAGCCACAGCAGTGCCAATGCCCAGGGCTCTTTCCTGCTAGGAGAGGAGACGGCTCCAGTCCTTCCCACTGCAAGAGGGAATACAAGCTCCAAGTCTGCGAGTGGCCACCACTTCCCAGCTGTGAGTCTGTCCTTGAGCTTCTCACAGCACTCACTCGGAGCACTTCTTGCTGGCTTAAGCCAGTACTTCACCAATGTCACTTTCCTCACCATCATTTTCTTCCTCCTCTTCTTCCCTCTTCTCTTTGAGCATTTTCAGGTACTTACTAGCTAAAATCTTCTTTGGTAATATATCTTTAAAAAACAGGAAGTATGTCAGTAATTGCTTATGGTGAACTATGAAACAATTTCAAAATGTACCTAGTTCCAACTTAGAAACCTTCTAAAGGAGATGGAATGACAGAAACGGGTTGTTTTCTGGTGCATGCTAATACAAACCTGTTCACATTCTACAGATGGACCCACCCTGATTTGTGACCCACCCTGTCCAAGCAAGCTGAGGAAGGATGGACTGGCCCCTGGGCTAGACAAAGCTCTTTCTATCCAAGGCTGCATGTACCAGTTGCTGTTGGTGTGGGGGGGAACAGGACAAAGTACACAGTTCGGAGCGAGTCTGCTAGTCAGCCAAGCATCTTGTATACACTGCCAACTTCTACAGTTCATGGGGGGCCACAAACTCCTTCCTGTGCCAAGTCAGATAAACCGATAGAGTGGAACAATAGTGGGACAAAAAACCTCACTATGCATATTTTTTGTTTGTTTTTTGTTTTTTAAACCAGAAAGTCCCAAAGACTAGGTACCTGCAAGAAACTGAAGGGTCTCCGAGTCCTCTGCAGTGCTGGCTAGGTCACTGTATGTCAGTGCTTTCTTGGCTTTACCACTGCCGTGTCTGTAGGAACAGGTGGCTAGATACTGAACAAAGAGTTCCTAAACCAACAACAACAACAAAAATCAAATGAAAGGTCAACTTTGAAAACTTGCCACAGACTTTCTAAGCTTAAAATTCCATTAATACTTCTGATTATCTTGGTTCCTCAAATTAAATTACAGGAAATCAGTTTAGAGGAGAAAGAAACATGAGATCAGAAAAGAAGCATGCCTGGGTAGAGTAGGAGGCAGCAGGCATTTTCTAATGCTGAGCTTAGGTGTGCAACACGAACAATACTTACAAGTGATCATGAACAATGGCTCTGGTTTCAGGGGAGTGCTGTGGCCCACACGTATCATGCCAGCACTCTGGAGGTGGAGGCAGGAGGCACAGGAGAGCAAGGGCAGCTATGGATACAGCACAAGTTCCACTCGGGCCAGTCTGAGATACAGGAGCTATCTGTTTTTGTTTTGTTTTGTTGGTTTTTCAAGACAGGGTTTCTCTGTGGTTTTGGAGCCTGTCCTGGCACTAGCTCTTATAGACCAGGCTGGGCTGGTCTCGAACTCACAGAGATCCGCCTGCCTCTGCCTCCAGAGTGCTGGGATTAAAGGCGTGTGCCACCACCGCCCGGCTACAGGAGCTATCTGAAACCGGTGGTGGGGGTGGGGTGGAGTGTCCCCAGCCACTACAATAAATGGAGCGAACATTCAAAAATTCTGCCTGCCAACGATTTTATTTAGCTTACAGTTTATTGAGACAAAGTCTCACTCTGTAATCCAGACTAGCCTTGAATTCCTGGAGATGCCCCTGCCTCAGTATCTCAAACGCCTAGATTACAGATGTGAACTCGCACGTATCTGTATCTCGGAAACACATTTTCAGTCTACTTGAATCCCTTGTGGAAGGGTATTCACTCAAAACTATAGTAAAATCCAACAACCTCAAGCTGAAAAGTGACATCTCAATTTGCCGATGTACTCTGGGGACCTGACAAGACTCAGAAATAAGGTAAACTGAGCCCTTCCCAAGGTTCAGCTAGGAAGGGATGAAAGAAGCGTCTGCATAGTTCTTAGATCCTTAATGCTAGGATGAATCTGAACGGAAGCTTTGAGTCCCCGGGACCACACAGAAACAAGTAGCTCCTCCATGATCTTGACGATTTAAAAATAGACGTGTTCTGTAAATAGTACACCATTGTCTAAAAGGGGCTTGTCATCCTAAGACTGCTATTTGGCGGTCCCGGACCTGTCCAAGGACAGTGGGAACTACTGTATTTTGCCAGGCTGTACTTAACGCTCTGTGCAAAGTGACAAGATTTGCACCCACACTGGCCCTGCTTCAAAGCATTGTAAAAATACTAACTTTGAAGTGGAAGTATAAGCTGGAAAACGATCTAGAGGTAGTTATTAAGGCCAGGTCTCCTAACAGGAAGATTCCTGGACCACCACTAACAAGACCAAACTTTAAACAAGAAGCGGTAGTAAGAATTTTTAATCCAGGCTGGTGGTGGTGGCGCACGTCTTTAATCCCAGCCCTCGGGAGGCGGAGGCAGGCGGATCTTTGTGAGTTCGAGGCCACCCTATTCTACAGCGTGAGTTCCAAGGCAGCCAGGGCTATTCACGGAGAAACCCTAAATCGAAAAACCAAAATAAAAAAAAAAGAAGGAAAAAAAAAGAATTTCCAATCCCAGCACTCAGAAGGGTTTGGTAGGGCTGCTGTAGAATAACAAGTGGCCAAAACCAAATAAGCGGGGCTTGGTGGTGCCCGCCTTCAATCCGAGCACTCGAGAGGCTGAGGCAAGTGGATCTCTTTCGAGTTTGAGGCAATCCTCGTCTACACAGTTCGGGGATAGAGAAACATATTGCGACCTGTCTCAAAAAATAAAACAAAATAAAAATGCAAAGCGATCGGTGTTGGAAGGGGGCTGTGCGGTTAACACTTGTCTCTTAAGTCGAACTTGTAACCACCTGCTGTCTACACAGACCCTCACAGCGTGCGGAGGCCTGGGGATCCGGAGACTGCCAGGCGGGCCACCCGGGAAGCTTCGAGAGCACGAATCACCCCGCCGTAGTCCGCGACAGAAACCGGGGGCAGAACCCGCGCAGCCGCACAAGGGAGGCTGGGCGCGCGCGCGAGGCACGGCGGGAATGACGCGCTGGGGCGGGACGCGAGGAACGCTGGGAGCGAAGTGAGGACGCAGAGCGGAAGCAGCCTAGCGGAGGCGCGGCGCGGGTGGGCGGGGCTGAGACCACAATGGGGGGGGGTATGGGAGCGCGCAGGCGCGAGAAGGAGGTTGGGGCGCGCGGCCCCGCAGGACAGCCGTCAGGTCGGGTGTGTGCGGAGCCCGGGGAGCGGTTAG